CCTGTTGCTCCAAAACACTTAGCCTCACAATCACAGCATTTAAGATGATCTGTGGAAATGAGTGAGCTCTATGTGTATGCATGTGTAGCACGCTTGGCTTTATAGGGCTAGGTGCACAGTGAGATGGGTTTCCGTATTTTTCAAAGAAATGAATAAGTAAATACATAGTATATATGCTATACATTTATATACACATATTATTACATACCTAGGTATAGGCACTTATAGACGCAAATAGGTATAGACATATAATTTATACATGTATATGGGTTTATATGTATATATATATATATATATTATATATATATATATATATATATATATATACATACACACACATATATATATATATATATATATATATATATATATATATACATATATAATATATATATATATATATATATATATATATATATATATATATATATATATATATATATATTACATAAAACGGCTTAAAGTAATCACCGAAATGCAAGGATATTTTTTGAGGGGGAGCCAAGATCCAGGAGGCCGCACAATGTTGCGTGTCCCCCCCCTTGACGAAATGCTGGATTAACCCCTGGCGCCATGTTCAGTTCATTGTTTGCAGAAAATGGCGACCTTGGGTTGGGTCAAGGCTCATCAAAAGTCATGCACAGAACACCGAAATTGACCGCAGACAATCCCATGCTCCGACACTGCTCGGCACAAAACCTTCACTGATCAATGCACCACGGTCAAAAGCCTTTTCTTTATTGAGAGTTATGATCTTGGGTTAGAGTAAAGGTTACAAAAAGTACCCAATACCTGACAAATCATTTCGACAACCGCATGCTTTGCAAGACTATGCAACCAATCACCACAAACCCTAAGGTATCAGTCGATGCACCACAGGCAATATCAATAGGGTGTATAGTTTTGCAAATTAGTTGAGGAGTGAACAGTAAAAATGGTTCAACCTGTCCACAAAATATGCCAAAATACAGGTTTCTCCCCGGATTTTGCCCGCTTTCTTTCCACAGGGGGAGGGGCGGGCTGAAGCCAAGTCGGGGCCTCGATTTAGCTAAAATGCGGAGACCGGTGAGGAATATTGATAAGTTTGCACAAAAAGTGCGACTGTGTGCATTCGAAAGCATTGATATAGGGCTATCATCCCGCGAGGACAGCACACTTGTCCAACAAAGGTGTTCGTGTGACAGAGTTCGTTAGTTTTCCGGAGAACCATCGACTTAATTCGAAAACAGACGTTGAAAAAGAGAGTCTCTGTTAGCCAAAGAGTTGCAAAATAAAGGTAAGAGAGGCGTTCGAAGGGCGGCGTCGCACACTCCGAAGTTGTTGTCGTCGTCGTCGTCGTCGTGAACGCTGACGTGGCTCGCGTCGAGCCGCGCCGTCGGAGCCTGAACGTGGACTAATAGGCAGAGACCGTACGTCTCTGCCCGCGTGATCCATAAATCCACGTGGCCCACAGATGGGCCCCAGATGGCGAGGACCAATCGGCAGAGGGGCCGCTCACACCGTCGCGGAGACGCCGCTGCCGCGCCGGCAGCGACCGTCTGCTCGCTAACAGAGGGAATCAATATTGTTGCTATTATTGGGTCTTTAAGACGCACGCTCAGCTGTTGGGGCTATGTGGCGCCACCTGCCTCTCACCCTGTCAGGAAGGGCGGACATCGCGGGGATTCAAACCACGTACCTCTGTTTTCCCAGACGCGCGGTGGCGGTGGCAGTTGCGCGCGCATCTTATTCGGTTGATTTCCTTACAGCGCCTCAATTAACCCTCGCTGGACGACTGCACTACCCATTTCTTAAGATAACGCGCAAATGCGGTTAGGCGTGCGCGGTAGGCGCGACCCTGTGCACACGACGCCAGTGTGAAAGCACTAACGACCGAAAGTATAAATCGCTCGTCAACCGGAATGTCCCACTTGCACAAATTAGCCGTGGACGGCATGTTGATAAATGCGGCTGGAGTGCCTGCAGTGTCATGGCCAGCATATGGCGGCCCGGGGAAAAATATTTATCGCAAATGGAGAGTCGGCTGCATGCATTCGATAGTTCTGTTATAAAGGTATTACCTGTGAGTAAAGCATACTTGTCTGATAACCGCAACAGTACTATTTGGTCGACCTATCGAGAATGTCTCAATGCTGGAGGGCCCGGCGCAGAGTAATTTGTAAAGTTACTTTTTTGTCTACACCATCTATTTAAGGCGCTTTACTAATTACTACTGGCATACTAGCGACATAATAGCCAGAATACGGCAGCACGAAAACAATTTTCATAATCTCGTCCAAATAGAAGAATTTGTCTTGATGCATCTGGTAGCGTTTGCAAAGGGCTGTCACTTGTGAGTACAGCACACTTGTCCGATTACAGAAACTATTTCATCCGGTGGGTCGCCGAACAGTGTGTGATTCGATGCTCGTAGAAGCCTGCACCGCTGATTTCCAAAATAGGGGGTACAACTTATTACACTTTTCGTCGTGCACGGAAGGTGCGACCATACGCAAGCGACGTTATTCACGCTAATGGCTTGCAGTATGAATCACTTATGGGCCGAAATGTCCTTTTGCGTTCACAGCAGGAATACTCCTTCCCTCGACGGAGCATTGTTAACTGCGGCTGAACTGCCTGTAGTAAGATGGCCAGAATAGAGCCGCCAGGGAAAACCACTTGTAGCTGCGCGCGACGGATGTGATGTGCATTTCATAGTTATGTGATGCTATGATCAGTTTTGAGCACAGCACATTTGCCCGATAACGACATCCATAGTTATTCTGTTGACACCCGCCAGTGCCTCACTCAGGGGTAGCGGGGTGGCGGCTGCAGCGTTTTACTTACAACATTCAGCTTAGAATCATTTGAGTCGTGCGCGGCGGATGCGACCACGCGCAACACGACATCACTCTGGGAGCATAACGGCTGGTAATGTAAAACACTCATCGGTCGACAAGACCAGTTGCGTTAATGACCGCCTTTGACGGCAGGTTGCTATTCGCGGTAGCTCTGCGCGTAGCGCGATGGCCAGAATACCGCGCCTCGTTTAAAATACGCATAATGTGACGCTAAGAGTGCGGCTGTGTGCACTTGATAACGCCGTTATAGGGCTGTCAGCTTGATGGTGCACTGCTGGCGAATTGCATCCTCTTGACGGCGCATTGCTGACTTTTGACAGGGCGCCCGTGATGTGACAGACAACAAGCGGCTGCCTGGGGAAAATGCTTCTAATGACGCACGCCGAGTGCCACTGCCTGGATTTGATAACGCTGGAGTTGATCTGTCAGCTCCCAGTACAGCACACTTGTTTGATAAGGGGAATCGATTTGGTTCGGTTGACCCCACTGAGAGCATCTCACCATCCTCGTGTGACGGCAGCACCGGCCATCTCAAGGGTTCGGCGTCCAGTACAACCACACCTTTTGTGGTGCGCGGCGGATGCGATCAAGCGTACACGACACCATTGTCTGAGCATTATCGGCCGGCAATGTAATCGCCGATGGGTTGACATGACCTTTATCCAACTCACCTGTTGACGGTGCGATGCTAACTGCGACCAGCCTGTCCGCATCGTGATGGCCAGAATACGGCGGCCCGAGAAAAATACTTATAGTCACAAGCAAAGACTTCGACTATGTGCATTGGATAGCTCTTCTAAAAGGCTATCAGCTGAGCACAACGTACTTGTCCGAATATGGCATCCATTTTATTCGGCTGACCTCCTGACAGTGTCTCACTCAGTGCTGGACGTGCGGCCGCAACGGCAATTTGCAAAGTTGCGTTGTCCAATTTTAAAGACTTAAAATGGTGCGCAGCTGGTGAAACTATTTGTCATCGATGCCATTGTGGAAGCGTCATCGGCCGGCCATGTAAATTGCTCCATTCGGCCGACATGACCTGGTTTTGCTCCGAGACTGCGAAGTTGATTGCCTCAAAAGCCTTATAAATCGATGTGTCATGGTTGATAATTTTTTTCCAAAGCATGGGACCTTGTGACGGGTTAGGTGTCACAAAAAACGCACGGAACCACTGTAATTGGTTTTTAGACAACCAATGCTTCCAGCCTGAGGCCTATCAACACAAAAGCTTTACCAATTTGTTCGGCGTGACCGATTGCCTACCCTCTCTAGTAGGTGATGATCTTGGGTTGGGTCAAAAATCAACAAAAGCGCCCCAAACCACCAACATTGGGTTTAGAGAATCCCATACTTACAGCACCTGTTGCCGATCCGCACAAAATCGTTACCAATTGACGTGCCATGATCTATGACCTATGCCTTCCAGCAGATGGCGATTTTGGGGTCAGGTGAAAGGCTAAGAAAAACGCCTAAAGCAGACAACATTGACTGCAGATATCCCGCATGCTCGGGCCCTTTCAGACTGATCGGCACGAAATCTTCACCAAGTGATGCGCCATGGTTAATAACCTACCCTTCCTACGAGATGCTGACCTTGGATCCGGTCGAAGTTCAGCTAAAAGGTTCTTGGTGACCTTTGACCCGGGCCAAGGTCGACATATTCTGGACAGGATGCAAATTTATCGACTATGGTGGCATAATGGTTAGTATTTTGTGCGGATCAGTCCCATATGCTCGGGTCATGTGTTATCTGCAGCCAATTTTGATGGCTTCTGACGTTTTTAGTCACATTTCACTTGACCCAAGGTCGCCATGTTGAGAAAAGGGTATGATATAGACTATTGCTCATCGACTGGTGATGGTTGATGGCAATATGTTCGAAATTGGTTTGGTGGCTTGAAGCAGCTGGCTGTTTGCAAACTGATTTTTCCAGGCATTTTCGTTTTTGTGACCTTTGGCCCGGCCCGAAGTCCCTATTTTCTGGAAAAGATACGCCATCGTCTAAGTTTCATTAAATGGGGAAAGTTTGGCGTTGATTGGTTCCATACGCTAGGGGCATAAGCTTGTCAGTAGGCTTTGACAGTCTTTTAGTGCATTCCGCTCAGGCGTCACTGAAGGCCGCGTCACTTATGTCTTGCGCGAAAAAGCTGCGACGTTTCCGCGAAATCGTTTGGACACAGCGAGCGCCCGTGATACCGATAGGAGCCGTGATAGTAACCTTCGCAGCGCGGTGCGCGGGTGTATTGTGCGTTCGTGATCAAGGCCCGAAGACTGTCCTTGCTTTGGGAGGTAGGCGGCAGTCCGGAGAAGAACACAGCGCACAAGGTTTAGCTATATCTGCCAGGTTCAACCTGGTGATCCTCTCATAATCGCGGCAGGTGGTAAGCGGGGCCCTAGAACTACCCAGGCGCCCTTGCATTACAATAATGGGGAAAGGTTTTAACAACTTCATGTGCAAGAAATTTTTTCATCCTGGCTCAATTGACAACTTGAAAAGAGTATGGATGGCCCAGCAGAAAACTGATGCTGAAAAAAAGAAGCAAGAAGAACTGAAATCTCAGTACGATAAGGAGCAGGAGTTGTACAACAATAAAGCTCTTCTTGCCAAGGGAGAAAACAAGGAGAAACTGAGCTTGAACTTCATGTATGAGCCTCCAGCTGGTATGAAAAAGGAGCGTGAAAGAGAAGATGGTGAACCTGAGTTCAAGTTTGAGTGGCAGAGAAAATACAATGGGCCAAGAGAAAGCTACTTATCAAAAGATGATGACACAATAAGGGATCAGCCATTCGGCATCCAGGTCAGGAATGTCAGGTGCATCAAGTGCAAGAAGTGGGGTCATATCAATACAGACAAGGAGTGTGAGCTGTATACTGCCCCATGGGAATTGACAAACCCCACCACATCCACAGACCCTCTTGAGCTGATGCGTGGCATGCGAGATGGTGGTCTGGCCCTTAAGGCAGGTGTTGTTGAGGGAACTGCACCAATTCCTGTTCATCAGCTGGTTCCATCTGGTGATGAGGCAGGTCAGCAAGAGAGTGAAGAGATGCAGTTCATTAAATCATTGTCTCAGAAGCAAAAGCAAAAGTTACTCAAGAAACTGTGCAAGCTGGAGGAAAAGAAAAAAAGAAAGCATAAGACCAGTTCAAGGAAGGCATCACATGCCTCGGACACATCCTCAGAGAGTGAGGAAGACAGAAGTAAAGAGACTAAAGCTGAAAGGAAGACAGCAAAATCAAAAAAGAAAAAAAGCAGCAGACAAGATGATGGAAAATCAAAGCTGAGGAGGCATGACTCTGAAGAGGATGAGAGGAGACACAAAGGCTTGAAGAGCAGGAGGGATGGGTACCATGTCAAACACCACAGTGGGGATATCAAAAGAGAGGCCAGAAGATCTAGAGACAGAAGATGATCATTCCATTTGTTGTGTTCTGTTTCCACAAACCACAGATCATTCAAGAATGCTAACATCTGGTGTTTCATCACATTTTCTTTGCCCAATGTATAATGCCTATTGTCTGATAGCCAATAGGAGTGCTGGTTTATCATAAAGTTGACACATGTGATATTTGTGATGTTGCCTTATGGTCTATAAAAAAAACATTTTGTATAGGTTAATGACTGGTACAGCAAAACTTAGATGATGGCAATGCCCTTGGTTTCTCTGTTGTTGCTATCTCCTGTACTAATATGTGTGCATAATGCATGCATGTATGTGATGATATGTGGATATGTAAATAAAACAGCCATTTTTTTTGTTTTTTTCATTTTTGTACAGGCTGGAATGCAACAGAAATGCAATGTGATATCTGGTAAATCTGGACACAAAAAAGTTGTGACAACATTGAAGGAGTGGTCACAACACTGAATGAGTAGTCACAACACTGAAGGGGCAGTCACAACACTGAAGGGGCAGTCACAGCACTGAAGGGGCAGTCACAACACAAAAGGAGCAGCCACAACTTGAAGGGGCAGTCACAACACTGAGGAAGTGGTCACAACACTCAAGGTGCAGCCACAACACTGAAGGAGCAGACACAACACTGAAGGAGCAGTCACAACACTGAAGGAGCAGTCACAACACTGAAGGAGCAGTCACAACACTGAAGGAGCAATCACAATACTGAAGGAGCAGTCACAACACTGAAGGAGCAGTCACAACACCAAATTCAGGTCATAACATTGAATTCATTACTTTTTTATCAGCACTGCCTTAGTAGGATACCTGATATGTACCCCCATCACAATATATGCCTGCACTTGGCCATTGTAACTGTATGTAAGCTGGGGCCATATCAGTGCCAGGTGCATTCTGTGCATTAAGGCATTCCTCAGTACAGTTTTCATGCCAAGATATGTCTGTTTCTGCTATTTTTACAGACTTTCAGGGGCGCAGGAGCATGTTAAAATATGGCATAGCCAAAGCCTTTTAAATTAAAGCTACTTCCATGCACCAGTTATTCCCTGCAATCAGACTAGCACAAAAGTGGGATGATCCTTGTTGCCACAAAGGTAGGAATGCTTCTATGGCCAGTCCTGCATGCCATGCCTATGTGCGGCCATCAGGTGGTGCATGGCTTTCGAGGCCATCAGTTTGCCTTGGGTTGTTGCTCACAAAGTCCTGCCATGTGTTTACATAGTTACATCTCGTAAAGGCTCAGGGCAGCGTAACATGCAGTTCCATTCCACACGCACATTTGCTATTTGACCACCAAGACACCTGTCATCCGCCCTTCTCTTTACCTCCGTCATTCGAAGGCACCTGGTTCGGTCCTGGATTTCGCTAGGACTAGGCTCTACCATCGCCGGCGTCCAACGCATCACTGGTTGCTCCAGGAGCGCAGCCCTGCCCAAACAACGGAGTGCTGAATGAACGCCACGTGCGCAAAATTTCCGTAACGAAAATCCCCACGAAGGTTACCCACAACGAAAATCTCCACGAGTGTATCTATCGATGACTAAATCAGGCTACTGGCGAACATCTGGGATGGGGCGAGCGGCGGGTCGGGCGCCACAGCCATTACCCTTCCCTCCCCTCCCCCACCGCACCAGTAGCTACGCCATCGACGTTTGCACGGGATGCGACAGAAAGCTCCCCGCACAGGGAGGCGCGGTCCCAAGTCATTTCTAGGCCGACGCAACCCAGCGCCGGTGCGCCGCGGGCAGCACGGCTGGCTGACAGCGAGCCGCTCGCTCGGACATCACCCCGCGGTGTCGGCGGTGCGCTGGCCGGCCGCCGACACCGCGACCCGTCACTCGCTCCGCTCGGCGAACAGGAGATGTGACTGACCCCGCCAGCTGGCGGCAAGGGCACGCCCACGGGCGGCAGAGACAGAAGTGCGAGGAAGGGGCGGACCGGACCGGCCAGCGGGACATGGTCACCGGATTCCACGCGCGGCCGATCCCGGCTCTCGGCGACGTCAGGGCGGAGCTGGCAGTCAGCGGCACGCTACAGGACGCGCTGGATCTCATCGAGCTGGACCTCATCACGCTGGATCCCATCGAGCTGGATCTCCGTGTGTGTGTGTGTGTGTGTGTGTGTGTGTGTGTGTGTGTGTGTGTGTGTGTGTGTGTGCGTGCGTGCGTGCGTGCGTGCGTGCGTGCGTGCGTGCGTGCGTGCGTGCGTGCGTGCGTGCGTGAGAGTGTGTGTGTGTGTCATTGGGGCTTTACGACGCACTCCGCTGCTGGGGCTATGTGGTGTCGCCTGCCTCTCACCCTGGCAGGAAGGGTGGGCACCGCGGGGAATCGAATCCTGTACCTCTGGTTTCTCCGACACGCAATGGTTAGCGCAGATGTGTTAAGCACTGTACTACCGGTACCCCATCGAGCTGGATCTCATCACACTGGGTCTCATCACGCTGGGTCTGCACAGCGACTGCACAGAAGACGCCACCGTCATGTATCGTGTAACGTTACAGCAGGCGGTCACTTCTCATAACGCGTCACAGCAGGCGGTCACTTCTCATGACGCGTCACAGCAGGCGGTCACTTGCCATAATGCGTTATAGCAGGCGGTCACTTCTCATGACCCGTTACAGCAGGTGGTCACTTTTCATGACGCGTCACAGCAGGCGGACACTTCTCATGACGCGTCACAGCAGACGGTCACTTCTCATGACCCGTTACAGCCGGCTTTCCCTTCTCATGACGCGTCGGCAACTTGGAAGCTCCCGTAATTTCGGACGATGCGTCCATGCGGGTTCTTCGCTCCAACGTTGACCAGCGCCTTCTATGGTGTACCTCGCGGAAGTTGAAAATTTAACCTCGGTTATTTTTTCCACCAGATAATGTAGGCGCTCTCATTAACCGTGAATTCAACGTCCCGTAATAGAATGATGAGACGTCCAGCGCCAGCCAAAAGCGCGGGAAAGCCCGGTAGCAATCCCTTTAACTGTACACTATTACAGTCCTACAAACAGTTTGTATTCCATAAACCGGTGTAAAACACAGTCATTGTCACACACGGCCCGTCCACCGCTCATCCGCCAGTCATCAGCTGTCCACTTTCCTCAGCCTGGCGATGAAGAAGCCGATGGTGTCCACGTCGCAGGTGTCAGCGGCAGGGTCCGGCGTGAACCGCTGCACCAGGTGACGCTGCCGCTCGTCCAGCCCCTCGCCAGGGAGGCCGGGCCCGGCCAGACGCGGCGCCGCCTCCTCCAGACACAGCTCGGACCGCGCCGCCAGCAGCGCCGCCACCTGGCGCTCGTTCTCGGCCGCCGGCAGCGTGCAAGTGCTGTAGACGAGCGTGCCGCCGGGCCGCAGCAGCGCAGCGGCGGCGCGCAGCAGGCGCCGCTGCAGCGGCGGGTAGGAGGCGCACGCACCGGCCGCCGGCGCCGCCGCCAGCCGCGGCCGCTGGCCCAGCCCGCTGCACGGCGCGTCCAGCAGCACGCGGTCGAACGTGCCGGCGGCGAACGGCGGCGCGCACGTGGCGCGGCCGTGCACCGAACACTCGGCGCCCGTCAGGTGGCGCTGGCGCAGCCGACAGGCAGAGTCGTCCGCCACGAGGCGCGTCGAGTCGGCGCGCAGCGGCCGGACGCAGGTGAGATGCTGCTGCTCAGCCAGCGCGCCGATGCGGCCCACCTTCGCCGCCGTCTTGTCCACGGCGTACAGCACGCCCTGCCGGCACAGCACGGGGTAAGTTGTGTGCTGCCGAAGCTAGGCGGCCCACCTGCCGAAGGTAGACGAGCCAGGGCAGGCAGGCAGCAGCGGCGAGACGGTGTGTGAGGAAGAAAGCGAACATCAAGGCGTCAGGAAACATCTTCTCATCTTCCAGAGGGAAACCATATTTGGACTGCTCACATAGGGTGGTGTTTCTGTCGCGTTTCATCGCTCAATAACCAAAACACCGCTCCCTTCAAATGCCATCACCAGCGTCCAAAGGTACCTTTACACGTACCAATAAATGCGAAGAAAAATCTAGCCATTCCAAAGCAGATACCTGACAAGGAAGTCGTGCATGTAGCGGTGGTTTGATTTGCACACCGCCAGGAGAGGGGGGGGGGAGGGTTACCTGGTCCTCCATCAGCTGGGCCAGATGGGTCGTCTTGCCGCCCGGGGCGGCGCACATATCGAGCACCAGCTCGCCGGGCCGAGGGTCCAGCACGCGGGAGGTCAGCACCGACGGCAGGTTCTGCAGGAACGCGCGCCGGCCGCAGAACGGGCCCAGGCTCGGGCTGCCGAACACCGGCTCCGTCATACGCACCGCCACCCCGCTGAAACAGGCGGCTGCACTGAGTGCCGGTCACGACCAGAGAACGCACGGCTGCCGTGAGTCCCGGTCAAGCTGCTGAGGCGCCGGTTTGCCGCGTCGGAGCCACTCGATGCGTTGAGGTGTTCATTGGTCAATACTCGGTCCGTGGCCGCAAACTGGTGATCACAGCTGCGCCAATGTCGCCCTTCTCTAACCATCGCCCCACCAGGGGGAATAAGCATCGCACCACTTAAGTCTATTTCCCAGAAAACGAGGGCAGTTGTATGGCAATACGTCAATTCCAGGCACTTCCACAACTGCACTGAGTACCAATCGCACGGTCGCAGCTATCACCGGCTTGCATCGCGTATCAGTGGCCAAATCATCAAATATCAGTGGCCTGGTAACCAGCCCTGAACTACCAGCCCGCTCAAGCAACCAGTGGCTTCTGCCACGAGTGTCAGATCTACCCAAAACCTTCACTACGGCGACAAATGTTTCGCTGCATCACATGACACAGCAAGGACCCATCAGCACCACCTTGCTTACAGACTGGGACAAAATGCCGCGACATTCCGAACCACCCGGGGAAAGATGTATTCTTTATTTTTGCCGGCGCAGGGCGAGCACGCGGGATGTGGTGGTCGGGACACCGTGGTGATATGAGTGTACTGTCTTGGAAATTCATGTACAAATATAGCGACCAGCTAGCTCGGATTTTGATGATTCAGTCACGCGTTTCAGTCGTTGCAGGCAGGTGAAGCCAGCTTAGTGCAGGACAGAATGTTCGTCACATGAATCTCTTTATGGGATGGATGTCATCAAACGGGAACACATGCATTGTCGGAATTGAAAACGGCTTATCACATATGACTGGTGTCTTTCTCCTGCTGCCGGTGTAGGAAGGGCGTCCGTGACCCAAGCACTGCCCTCTCGCCCCTGGGAGTTGACCTCAGCATCGACTGGGAACTAGTTGTCATAATGGAGTTGCTACCGCAAGTACGCAAAAGTTCGCCGTGACATCATTTCATTAAAGTAGTGATGGCGTGTATATTGAACACGCTGTACTGTACAGTGCGCAGTACGGCAACAAGGTTGAATATTTGTCTCAGCCGAAAATTTATTTTTTCCCGCGCCGACAACAAAAAAACAAAACCCACGAGTTGCGTGCTCTATCATACTTCATCGGCCGCTACACGCCCATTCAAGGGTGAGCATGCGTTCAGCGATATGACCCTACTGATGTCAGCACACCATGCTGGTTGACCAGCCGCGCGGATAACGCCGGTGGCCGTCACACCCAGCCTCGAACCTCACGCCGCTCTCACCACGGCTTTTCCGTCGTGAAGATGGCGTGTCGCGACTGTTCCATGACGCCGTTGCCGACGAACAGCTGATGCCCCTCGTACGGCTGGGTGCGGCCGCGCAGGCAGCAGCCCTCCAGGTCCGCATGCACCGAGACCGGCTCCCCCTCACGCACGTCTGATCACAAAGGAGGGCAGGCGTCGACCGCGGGCCACGGGGAACAACTGCAGCGCCCGTGATAACCTCCACACGCACGCTAACGTCTTCAGCTGCATATCTCACACGGCCGGCATAGCACTGATCGTCCACCAGACTGCCCATGCCCGGAAACACTCCAAACACGGAGCTGGGAAGCGCTGAAGCGTGCAGAGGTAAATACACGGAACCGTCAAATGCGGTGTTTCGTGAGATGGGGAATTCGTCTCAGTTATATAGGTCCGGGACGGTTGGCCAACAGCGACTGTTCTGTGGTAGAAAATGTTTTAACGAATTCATGAGCGTACGCAAGTGCACATTTGGTGGCAGCGTTTTGCCGTCCATCTTAAATCTGAGCTGAATATGGAAAACTTTCCGACAAGTACCGCTACGCCACGCCATCGAACCCGACAGAGCGGGCGAAGCGGCAGTGCGTGCGGCGGCGAAAACTAAGGCAGCACGACGGGTCCAGCATCTAAGCGGGCTCATAATCTGTGTAAGTGCTGGGCATTGTGCACCAGAAGACCACGTGACCCGTGCACACCCATTACGCTGCCCAACTTTGGATCATCCTACGCCGCAGACGATTAGACGGTCAAGATACTAAAATCCGCGTTGTTATCTGAAAGCGAGCCTTCATAAGTTGAGGATGTGGTCTTGGCCAGCACATTGGCAGGCCAGCAGTGGCGGCTTCAACTAACCGGCCGAACAACCCAGGACGCCAGGCGCGTACACGTCAGCACCGCGCAGCACGGCCGCGCCGCAAAGGGTGTCCACCACCAGGCGACGCTCGGCGGGCCGGAGCGGGCGACTGCTGGCCGACTGCACCACCAGCAGCTCAGCCAGCACCGGGTGCTGGCTTACACTGCAGCCTGGGTAGTGCTGCCAACAAATGGACAGGGGGGGCATGATCACTGAGCCGCATGGATGGCTGGCGGGTGTGGAACACAAGATTGTAGCGGCACATAGCGGTCAAGTTGTCATGGAGGAGGCTGCAGCAAGAGGCAGGAGCCCACACAACTGACAGGCAGATGGATTTGAGGAAAGGCATTCCAACCAACTAAGCAAGCTTATCAGATGATAATACAACTGAACAATTGAACATTCTTATGTACACAATACAATACATCCCTTTTAAACAGGGTAAAAACAGGGCTATTGGCATAGCATTGGCATAGCTATGCCAATGATGTGCCATCATTGTCAGGATATTTTCAATGCCATACCATGTGTGGCAGCAGCACACACCCCTTTCCATTAAGGCTTTACTGCACAATGGGCAGAAATCATCACATTGTGGTAACATTGATATGCAAGACCCCATAGGCCATGATATGCATTCCTACCTCAGATGTCTTATCTGACAAGCCAAATTTGGGAGTACTTGCATGAGCCATTATGCCATGATCCAGGGAAGACTGACTAAGGGGGGGGGGGCACTTATATCATTGGTTGCTAGTGTGAGGCTTAATGGATCCCATCCACTAAGAAGTGAATAACGAATTCCCTGGGACACATAATGCCTTACCTCATTCAAGTAGCTTTCCAAATCCAGTTTCACATCATCAATATCATATTTCAATGTATTGACACGGACAGTTGAGAACCGTGGCGGAGCACTGAAAACCTTGGAATCCCAACAACGGAGTTCATCGACACCACCATCCATTAGCAATGCTGGTGCTTCTTGTGGATGTGCGCCAGATAATGCAAACAAGCATTTCAAGCTGTACGCAGCTCTATTACACCTAAGTGATTAAAGACAAGTGTGTGATTCCAAATTAAGCCGGTAATTAACTCCCAAATCCATGTGCATTTACCGGCATACTACACGCAACTCGAAAACATATGCGCCATTATTCGAGACTGACGCGCCATATCTGCATAAGCCCTCATTTTTTCACGAAGGATTCCTTCGCTGTGGTCCTTGCGAATAAAGTAAAGTGTTGAAACTGCTCGTACCAGTCGTCCAAATATTACATCATACTTGTGCCATCCAAAGCAAAACTCCCGTTCAGGAATCTTGATGGCAAAGTTCAGCCATCTTTAGGGCATTGCTTGATTTGTATTCATTGGGTGTTAAAAGTGTACTTCGCCGTAGATATAAATACAGAAAATGTTATGACGTATGCCTGGTGTTCGTCCACGGTAAGAGAGTGCAAGAAAAGCAACAATGTTAACCAATCGGAGTACTCAGGTAATATGAAATCTGTTATGCTCTTTATGATTCGTTGTAATTCGATGATCCAATGAATATAATTGGCAAATACACAATGTTCTGGCCACCGTGGAAATGCATGCTCAACTCAACGCGGTGTGTTTGATTTTGCCCGTGCTGTTTAGCCTTTTTTGCTTATCGGTGTTGGTGTTATTGACTGGACTTCGCCCATATTAATCGGGTGCGGGCAACTGTTATCAAGTGTACTGGTGACATTCCTGATAGTGTATGAGTTGTAGTGGATGGGATATTGTAAAGCAAGAACTTCCACAAGTGGGACCAAGGACCAGGGCTCAGTCCATTGATTAATGTGTTGGCTTTCAGTGATACTCTTTGTTTCACGTTCTTTTGCTATATTCACGGAAGGATTGGTCAAAATATTTTTTCTTCACCATGTTATGATGTTGCATGACACTTTCTAGTGATCATTTTCAGGGAAAGAGGACAAATTTGTGTGAAAGAAAATTGCTACACCATTTTCCAGGCTAGCCCCAAATAACTGAATCCATGGTTTTCAATGCTGATGGCATGACCACATCTTTTTCTGTCTTGATCTCATCACAGGTGGTCAATTCCGTTAGGTCATTCCATCTTCATGTATCCAGATTACCATCATGCTTACAGTTGATGGGTTAAGGTTGGTGTCCCATCACTGAACATTGTTCACACTGTGCCATGTGCAGGTGGGTGGGCCATCTACCCCTTTCATAATTAAATAGTATTTCTTCATATTTGACTCGCAAAGTGCCATTTTCAGCTTCACACCACCACACAACACCACAATGAGCTGCGAGAAGCCAATCTGCCGGCCAAAAAACTCCAGGAGGCTGGTGCCAGGGAACCTCACTCAAAGTGCCTGTGTGGATGGATCTGAAAACCCAGATAAACAGTACAATGGAAGGGCAGAGGTCTTCTTTGAGCCTCCCAGTTCACCAAAGGAAGATACCAGACCCTTAAGAGAAAGATGCCTTGACAAAAGAACCATGGACTTGAAGCAGACTGGTGGCATTGTCAAGATTAAGGGTGGTCAGATGCAGTTTGGCAGGCACAGAGAGGGCGTAATTTGTCCGGGAAAGGTTGCTCAGGATAAGGGCGACCTGGAATGGAGTCATAAGGTATGTGTGTTTACCAAATGATTCTGTTGTCTCGCCAAAGGAGGAGTGGTGCAGCCCAGTTCCACTCGTGCATTGACTTCCAGTCACACTGGTCGTCCGCACAACGTGTGCCAGGCCTGTCCCAACGGCACCGTTCGCATGTGCTTGCTGGTGCCATGAATGTATTTGCTTTGATTCCCTCCACCTAGTGGGGTGTAGTCAAAAGATGAGCGAGACCTGGCGACGGCCACCAGGGCTGCGACCGCGCTCCCGCTCTGCACCTGGTGCACGCCCGGCTAGATGTTCTAAGTCCCTCCGTTCCGGCTGGAGCCACGTGTCGTCCGCGTGGCCCTCTCCGTATGTGTCACAGACGCCCTCTGGCGTCGGCAGCACGCGCAGACGTCGCTGCCGTCGACGGGAGACTCGGCTGACTTGTTCCCGGACGCCGAGCCGCCGGCGCTGGCGGCGCCCGAGTTCAACACGACGCTGCGCCTGGCCGGCCGCATCCGCCGGCTGGAGCAGCACGAGCCCGACCTCAGCCGACTGGTGGAGCAGCGACTGCGCCAGTGTCCCTGCGCCGCCCAGCAGCTGCGCGACGCGGTCAGTGGCGCCCCCTGTCCCTGCCTTCGCCGGGAGGTGCGACGGTCGGCAGCGCTGCTGGTGGCCATCGGGCCGGTAGGCGCCGGCGGAGGCGGACGAAGCTGGGCGGCAGCCTGCTCCATATGGGTTGGGCGGAAAGCTGTTGGGACGGTGGACTTGAGTTGTGTACCTGCAGATGCGCAGTCACAGAGCGCGGAGAAAGAATGGAGGTAGTTGGCGAGGAACAGGCATGTCTGAATGGCAGGGCGATCGCTACTCGGAAAATGTTAGCTGCCATGCCGTGGTTTTGCAGCTCACTAAGCAGTCTTTCTGTCGCGTTGCTTCCTGATGGCATTGCCAGTAAACCGGTTTGCTGCTTCCTTTGACGCTGACCCGTGTGCGCGGATCCCAGGCCTACAGCCGGCTCAACTACGGCCGCTCCGAGTTCCAGTACGGCAACTTAGTACCCATCGAAGTAGACGAATCCATTCTGATCCGAGAAATTGAAGCGCGAAAACAGGTAAGCCGGTGTTTCATTTCAGCTGACGCGAGTGTGATGTTCGTTTTGTTATTCGATGATGCGCTGATGCTGAGGTGTTAGGCTTGTCCAGTGCGTCGGCGGATGAGAGGCTATGAGCGCATACATACGCATACAAGAGAACACCTAGAAACGTTATTGGTATACGTGCTTGGTTTGCATTTTATTTTAAAAAATAACTTTTATGCTTGGATGATTTAGTGTGTACATAATCACTTCATGTCAAAACGTACGAACTATCCCCTGTCAGTGTGGTGTCAATGACCTTCCTCAGGCATTTTGCACATTGGCTAGTTTCTTGACGGTGCAACTTATGTAGGCCTAGTTTGCCACAGAATACGCCCTATGCACCATATTCTGTGGACTGTTCTGAACGTGATTTCACCAGACCCACAGCTCCCTTATATTACGATTTTATTTCAGCTCACAAGTGTACAAATTACGCACGTTCAATCGTGACCACTCGTCACCGAGCTATCAAAGCCTCGCATTAGCGGTCCCGCGCCGCGCCATGTGGTGCCCCTCCCCGCTCACCCGGGCGTCGGCGGCAGGCGCGCGTGGAGGCGTACCGGCCGGTGGTGGGCAGCCGGCGGCCGGGGCCGGACGTGCGCGACCTGATGCACCTGGCTGTGCAGCACGAGTTCCCGGTGCCGCCCGAGCCGGCCGCGCTCATCGCCCGGCCGCCGGCGCCGCGGCCAGTCGGCTACGACCAGATGGCGCGGCGTGCCTCGCAGCGGCACGCGCAAATGTTCGGCGCGCACCCGCAATGAGGCGGCACCACTCGGCCGCGGGCCCGCGCAGGGCGAGCACGCTGGATGTGGTGGTCGGGATACCGTGGTGATATGAGTGTTGCGTCTTGGAAATTCATGTACAAATATAGTGACCCGCTATCTCGGATTTTGATGATTCAGTCACGCGTTTCAGCCGTTGCCGGCAGGTGAAATCGACTTAGTGCAGGACTGGCCGTTGATTGTGTTCCCAATCCCCTCGCTATGCAACACACTTTAGAGGACGCTTGCATTTATTGCCGATGACCACCCCGGCGGCGTGAAGTGCATTCACCACGACCCTGCTGAGGATCTGCATGACGACTGGACAGGCATCGACAAATACAATGAATTCACGGCTATACGGACGGCAGGCGTTTCTGACGGACGGAATCTCGATCATATGAACGAAAACGGCAGCCGATCAGAGCTGCTTATTCGATCGCGCACGCCTGCGAGCTGGACACTTCCGCTGCCTCATGTGGGGTCTCGGACAGCATGAGCTCTGGAGCACGACGCTCTGGCACCACGCGCCCGTGCGTCCGCGCGACGCACCACTGGCGCGGTCACGCACAGGCCAAAACCGACAATCATAACTCGCACCACTCTCAATGACTACGTGAAGTTTTTCAACCTCAAATCCCGTACAACAGCGCGTGATAAAAGGAACAGCACAACAGAAACGACTGGTTTCATTCGCTACAAACACGCGCTCTAGCACATCTAACCACACATGACTAGAACAAGCAGGTACGGTATTTACATGGCTGACTCACCCTCACGCCGTGCGCGGGGTTTGGTGCCGAATAAGCCCTGTGCAAAGGACAGTGTGACGAAGTGCATACACTGCGCAAGCCCACTGCTTCAGTCAGCACTGGCCCAAATTCGACTAGATTTACTGGAACACATTCGGGAGATCGGTGCGCTTTGCGGCGTGAATGATCGCAGAGAAAGCTCTGCTACATATGCCCCCAATAGCATGCCCCCGCCCAGATCGCGGAGTGCACATTTTCTGCGCGCTGTCTTCGGTTACATCCACTCGTGTTTCGCTCCTTGTGTCGAAGGTTTTGTACGGTGTCTGCACACCTACTGGACCCATTGCAGGATTTTCGTCGGGACACCCGAGGCGCATCACCGCGGAGGTCACGCTCGTGAATTATTCCCATCAGGAACTGAGTCAAGTGAGATCACGCAGGCAGCAGTCGGCTGTCCTGACTGCGTGTGTATGCAGGCAACAGTTGGCTGTCCTGACTTCGTGTGTACGCAGGCAACAGTCGGCTGTCCTGACTGCGCGTATACGCAGGCAACAGCCGGCTGTCCTTCACGGCGTGTGTACGCAGGCAGCAGTCGGCCGTCCTGACTGCGTGTGTGCTGACATCAATGTGAGCGACGCCTTCACTTAAGTTTGTCGCATATGAGCTCGTAACTGTTGAGACTACAACCACCCCTGACAAAGCGCCAGAGAGAGCATACATCCTGCGACGCGCTACTATAGGAGTGGACACGCAAGCACACACTACCAAGCTCTTAGTAGTTGGCAGCGTGGTTCGTGAGCGTTGGCACTTGTGGAGGAGTTTCGTTCTACGCGACGAACCGACCCCCATGCTATCCAGGTGGTGAACAATGGCTGTACCACGAAGCGCGCCTCCTAGCTCGAGCTAAGTAAGCAAGCACTCTAGTAAGCCACGCTACCGGGTCACCAGCTACGGCCCGGCTACTGCACTGCGCCTGAAGCGATCACTACGCCGTCCACTACCCTCATACGAGGAAACGTTCATCAACCAGCGTCTTCTTGGCCAGGTTTCGGCGTCCGAAGAAGTAGCGCCCAGAGTCGACCAGCTGCAAAGAAGAGCGGCAGTTGGACGCGCGCCTCGGTACGGCGGGGACGCGGGCAGCAGTGCGCTAGTGTTTGGGCGTCTTGGTGGACCAGCCAATAAATACAGGGCTGTGTATGCCGCAGCGGATGACGTGGGTCGACAGTCGTGCGTTATGGCTGGACCGCAGCGTCTCCACACGCTTCACAGTATGCCTCAGGCGTCGGTCGCTGGCACGCGTGCACGTTCACGAGGCTACATGCTCACTAAAAAGCAGGTAGTTGAAAAATCAGCCTTGAGAAATACATTTCTCCTCCGTTTAAGCACATAAACAAGCATTTCAACCTCACATAGCATGAGCCGGAAAAGCACAGAGTAAAACGAAATTTGGACTATTTCACGCACTTCTTTTGGGTGCATACACAGGTCATGAGTGCATCCAATTCAAACGCCCCTAGCATCGATAAAGCATCCCAAAAGGCTTTGTTTTTTTTTAATAAAACGCCGGGGACGCATCACATCACAATGCTAACCCTTAACAGGTTGCAGTCATGACCATTCAGTTGCTTCCGCTTTCGCTCCGCACCATGTGCCACACCTCACTCGCTCCACACCAACGTCCTCCGCCTCAGTCGCCACTATCTCCCACGCCGCCTCACCTTGCCCGTGCAGAACACCACAATTGTGGCCAGTAGCACGTTGGACGACAGGATGTCGACGAAGCAGAAGAGCAGGATGTCGAACACGGTGAGGGCGCAGGCGTTGCCGTAGAGCAGCGCCCTCTGGAAGGACTGGCCGCCATCTGCGGACGGGCGTCAGGCGTCAGGACCGCGGCGCCGGCCACGGCCGGGACGGCGCCGCGGCCAGCCAGCGGGGTAGCGGGCAGCCTGAGGCGTCGGACGCCGGGACGCCCCGCAGCCCGGCCGCAGTCGCGCACGCGCACACACACACACACACACACGCCAGTCAATACGGCCGCCGCGCGGAGCTGGACCGCCGCAGGGCCTGGTCTCGGTCCGAGTTTGCCGGCTAAGCTCACAAGCGCAGCGGCCCTGGCGTGTGGGCGTCTCAGGACACGGAAGGCGGCTGTGCGGGGCATACGGCCGTCATATACCTGAAACGCCACGTACCGTTGTAGAAGACGCCTTTCTCGTCCGAGTCGGCAAACTCTATGTCAATCATGGCCTCGATAAACTTCTTATCCTTCACCGTGTAGTCCAGCTCCTTGATAGCCTGACACAGCGCAGTATGACAGATCAAGTAGGAGAAACGGATCACTTGTGGCGAAACATCGGCCAGAGCATGCTGCAATGTACAAATACATTCGAGCCATTCGGAGTGAGTAGTCGGCTGGCGGCTCGGCAGGAGCCTAACACGGGCGCTGTGCTACATGCCTTAAGGTACAGCTTATAATTCAGGTTTTACTGTGCACCACAACAATGCTGCATCAAATGTTGTTCGATTTAGTGACAGCATTGAGGAAGTTCTCCGCAACACATGACCGCGGCCGCACTGACATGCTCTATGAAGGCGGCCAGAAACTTGTTGATGGTGTTGTAGGCCTGCACGCTGGGATGCAGCTCGCGCGGTGCGCCGGCGGTGGCGTCCCCGCCGGCGGCGCGCTGTCCGCCGGAGCCGGCCGTCTGGGGAGAGCGCCGCCGGCCGTCACCACCGCTGCCGCCGCTGGGCACGGACACTCGAGCCGCACGGTGCGCCGAGTCAGCCGCCGGTGCGGGTGGACGCCCGTCATCAGGCGGGCAACCAGGACAGTGGCTGGCAGCCAGCGGGCTTACTGACACACTGAATGTGCTGAATTTTCTACTGGACTGGACTTGTCTACTCGCTACGAGCGCCTGATCGGGACATTTTACACCATGCATAAACCTCGCCCGTCCAGGTCCTGAGACAATCCAAGCTTCCCTGATCACCGAAGCCACTCCACTTGCTCTGCGCTTCGAAACCACTCGTCGCTGCCCAGCCTCTGGAGGCGGCCCCGTCCCGTGGCAGCCCACCTGCTGCATGGGCGCCATCAGGTTGTCGTAGTGGAGCCGGAATGTGTTGGGAAGCAGGATCTGAAACGTCTGCTGGTCGGCGCCGGGCAGCAGGCCGCGCCGCGAGCACAGATCCTCCTCCTCGCGGCGCAGCTGCTCGTGCAGCCCGTGCAGGTCGGCGTCCGCGTGGCCGTGCACAGACCTGGTGAAGAGGTCGTCACCCGCGACGTCACCATCTCGCCCGGCCGCGCGTCACGTCACACCCCATTCGACTTACGTCCGCCGTCAAGTCTACCGGGCGATACGTCCCCCGCAGCCCAGCTCTGCAGCCAAGAGCGCGCTGCGGCGTCAGAAGGCGGCAGCACGACTGCAGCGGCGTGGACAGCGGCTGACGCGATCGCCACCCACGCTCGCTCGCCCAGTACCCGCCGCACCTTCAGCGGGTTTGATAGGCATCTGTGACCAGCTGTGACGCTCTGCCTGCCAGTTAGCTATGAAGAGGTAGCCCAGTATCCTCGAGCTGTCTCCCGATTCACGGCGAGACAGACACGTACTGAGGACAAACGTACTGAGGGCATACGGTGACATGCAGCACTTGGTGGCCCTACCTGCCGTGTATGTAGAAGCCGTAGTTCTTCTCGTACAGAATAAAAACGCTGATGTTGGAGATGGAGCACAGGTCGACGAATTGCTGCATCTTGTCCTCCACGAAACGCTCGTAGAGGCCGCTGGTGAATATCCACTGCGACGGCACAGAGTACGACTCGATACAAGGCGTACAATCTCAGCACAGCCGTCCAGCCAGCACGACATGTCAATGGTGCCGACATTGGAGGTCAAAAGACCAGCTCCATGTCGATGGCGGACGTGGACCGAGGAACACCAGGTGGGTTGGCGCCGGGTGTGAGACATCCTCAAACACACAAAAAAGTTCGGTTCCTGACTGCCAAATCGCTACCGGGGAGACTAAGTAACGGGTTCGATCATCCGGACGTGGCTTCAAGTCGAAATCCAACCATCAGCTCCGCCGAAATACACCAACGACAAGAACATCCTAAAGACTTTTACGACAACGCCGCGGCGCTGGTGTAGCTGTACTGTTTGGTTCACGCCGCATGCCATAGAGCACAACTTTCCCTGACGGCCACGCTAGTCTGCAGCGCCGACGCCAGATGCGCGATGACCGCGCACCGCACTGGCCCATTCGGGGCCCTCCGTCGCCGCCGCCCGCGCTCACCTGGAGCACGGCCACCGTGACGTAGACGAGCACGAGCACGCAGAACCGGCAGATGAACGAGTCGGGCGGCCGCAGCTCGCCCTCGCCGTAGTCCATGCGGGCGTCCGGGTCGGCCGAGCCCAGCTGCGCGAACCCCACGATCTGCACAGCAGACGGGGGGAGGTGAAGGCTGAGGTGACTCGTCGCCTTAACCTCAAGCAAACGCTTCTTGTCGTCAGCACATACACCGCCCCCGACGGACCACAGCGGCGAGCGTGCAGTCACCATCGGCCCGGAGGAGGCCGGCGAGCTGACCTCCAGTGCGAAAAGGACGATCATCAGCTGCCACGTCTGGTTGACCTTCCGCTCCGTCTGCAGCTCGTTCCACTCGTTCGCGATGAAGTACGTCCTCCATATGCTGACCTGATGGGCGACACGTGAAATGAACACAAACGCGGCCAAAATGACGCTACGGAGGCAGCGCAAACGCCCACACTCGAAGAAACGAAACGTCACGACCGTTCATTTTGAGCTCCAGCACTTAACGCCATCAGCCGGACTGATTAGATCACCACAAGAGGCGGACACATCGGGCCGGCGGTACTGACCGTGTCGGTGCCGTCGGCGCCGGGCGGCAGGTGCGGGTGCGGCATGGTGGAGCGCGCCTTGGGCCGCTCCCAGTCCAGCAGAAAGAGGCCAATGTTGACCTGCCTCCAGAGCAGCCAGGCCACGTCCACCGTCTGGCGGTGCGGCGTCAGTCACAGGGCGCCGACAACGGCAGCCTTCACGCCGCGGCACAGACCACACAGCCGACGCGTGCGCCCAGTGCTGGCGCGTCTGAAATCCGCTGGCGGCTGGGCGCACAGCAGTGTCGTTCAACGCGTCGTAAGGTCCGCAGTTATGTTCTTCATAAGCCCACCCCGATGGCACCAGTGTGTTCACATTACACTACATGGGGGAAAGACCCAAATTCGTACCAAAATCAGATACCCCGCACATCACGACCACAACTAACAGCAAATATTTGAAAGGTGAAATGCTTATCATTCCAGTGTTAATATAACAAATATCTGCAAGAAACACAAATTAGCATTGCGCGCAGCTAGACACTGGACAAATAGCCTGAGAGCACTAGCACCACACTGTTAATCCAGCCAGACCTTGAGCACGAATGCCGAGATGACGAGGTTTCTGACGATCAGCTCCTGGTCCGGTGTGGGCAGCAGACTGTACGCCACCTCCTGGCGCTTGAAAAAGATGAACCAGTAGAAGCAGGTGCAGAACATGACCAAGAGGAAGACATTGGCCAGGCTGCCACACGAGCACACCACCAGGTGCACCTGAGGGCGGTGCAGCCATGGCAGAGCGTCAGGACAGGCGCAGCGGCCGCGGGCCTGCCTGAACGTCACGAGAATGACCACGGCCGGGTTACGATTTTCTTCGGGGTTGAGGTGGAAATTGGGCACTCTAATGACATAAATTGGCATGTTCCATCACAGATGAACAGGGAGGACAACGTGTTCACTGCTGACCCAAAAACAGCCGAAACTGCAGGCACATGCTGCATGGAACGCGTAAACACATAATATTACGGGAAAACAAGTATGGCTGCACGCGACGACGGGAGCGAGTGGTACGAAGCCCGGAGAAAGAGCGAGACAGCAGCCACAGTGAGAGCGACATACCAGCGTCATGGAGTCGACCTCAGCCTTGCCGTTGCGGCTGCTCCAGGCCCAGGTGCGGAAGATGGCCCAGACTGCGGCGAACGCACTCATCACACCCACCGCCACCTGCCGGCGGCCGCATGCTGGCAGTGTCAGCGCGGCCTCAGGCGGGGCCGCTCGGCCCGAGGCCGCGCTCTGATCCCAGACCCGCAGGCCTGCCCGGGGTCAGTGCTGGCTCGTACGACACACCGTCAGACTATCCATCATCGCCCGCTCACGGCACCCAGCAGCGCGCTGTGACGTTCGCCGCCCAGTCATATCTCCATCAGGCGATCACCAACGGCTACCTGCTTAGAAGAAGTAAGTACTTTTTTCTCACGCTGATGTGTTTCCTCCTTGCAAGGAGCTAGCAGCATCTAAAGCCCTAGCATATCGTACAGAAACAGCCCGCCATCACCCGTGGAATGTGCCCGCAGATCAGAAAGTCATGCGGCAAACGGCCGCCGCGTCGCCTAAACGCCAGCGCGCGGCCGGCGCGCCATCAAGTGGCGCGCGGCGGCTCACCTCCACTTGCTCGCGGGAGTTGGCCATGTTGGTGCTGTACTGGACGCGCACCCGGAGTCGCACCGCGCGGTCCTGCTGGTCTCGCTTCAGCAGGCCGTACGTCAGCGTCAGCAGTGGCGGAAAGATGCGACCCGGCCGTTCCTTGTCGTCCTGCATCTGCACACTGCCGGCCCGACAGTGCGGCGGTCAGCGACACCGCCCACCTGGCGGGCGACCGGGGCGCTGATGCCGACCGCGGACGTGCGTGGCGCGCCAGACATGGCCCACAGTCGCCGTGGTAGACCCCATCCAGAGGTACGCTAGCATCCACGCAGTCGCAATACACATGATGCCGCGTGTCATGCACTTGAACAGATTGACACCTGCAACAACGTGACACGCGCCTGATGGACTCGTAAACGAACAGTTTACCGCACTTTCAGCAAAGTACGTACGGATCATGTGAAACAGGTGCAATGACACACTGAGCGCACTAAACCGCCATTTCATTCCGGGGACCCACCTGAGCACGGCGTCCTGGACGTACTGGACCAGCTCCGGTCCGGCCTGGTCGGCGTCACCCTCCGAGACGGCGGCCACCCCGGATGTGACGTCCAGCAGGAAGAAGCGGTGCACCAGCTGCCACTGCTGCCGGTCGTCCAGCTGGGGGCGAGGCGGGGCGGCGGCGCCGGCCGGGTCACCGGCGCGGCTCGGGAGTCGAGGGCCGACGGATCGGTGCGGCGGGATGCCACGGTCCATGGGGACGAGGCGAGGCGGCGGCGCCGGCCGGGTCACCGGCGCGGTTTGGGAGTCGGGGGCCGACGGATCGGTGCAGCGGGGTGCGGCCGTCCGTGGGGACGAGGCGGGGCGGCGGCGCCGGCCGGGTCACCGGCGCGGCTCGGGAGTCGGGGGCCGACGAACCGCTGCAGCGGGGTGCGGCCCTCCATGGGGATGAGGCGGGGCGGCGGCGCCGGCCGGGTCACCGGCGCGGCTCGGGAGTCGGGGGCCGACGGATCGGTGCAGCGGGGTGCGGCCCTCCATGGGGACGAGGCGGGGCGGCGGCGCCGGCCGGGTCACCGGCGCGGCTCGGGAGTCGGGGGCCGACGAACCGCTGCAGCGGGGTGCGGCCCTCCATGGGGACGAGGCGGGGCGGCGGCGCCGGCCGGGTCACCGGCGCGGCTCGGGAGTCGGGGGCCGACGAACCGCTGCAGCGGGGTGCGGCCCTCCATGGGGACGAGGCGGGGCGGCGGCGCCGGCCGGGTCACCGGCGCGGCTCGGGAGTCGGGGGCCGACGAACCGCTGCAGCGGGGTGCGGCCGTCCGTGGGGACGAGGCGGGGCGGCGGCGCCGGCCGGGTCACAGGCGCGGCTCGGGAGTCGGGGGCCGACGAACCGCTGCAGCGGGGTGCGGCCCTCCATGGGGACGAGGCGGGGCGGCGGCGCCGGCCGGGTCACCGGCGCGGCTCGGGAGTCGGGGGCCGACGAACCGCTGCAGCGGGGTGCGGCCCTCCATGGGGACGAGGCGGGGCGGCGGCGCCCGCCGGGTCACCGGCGCGGCTCGGGAGTCGGGGGCCGACGCCGCTGCAGCGGGTGCGGCCCTCCATGGGGACGAGGCGGGGCGGCGGCGCCGGCCGGGTCACCGGCGCGGCTCGGGAGTCGGGGGCCGACGAACCGCTGCAATGAGGTGCGGCCCTCCATGGGACGGTTGCCAAAACTGACGTCACGAGGTGCTGCGAAGAACGAATGATTTCACGAAGGATTGCATCGTTCTGATCTGGCAGCTGCCATCATCTGTACAGAAGTCGCACGGGAATCATAACCCCAACACCTTTGAATATCACTGAATAACCAGCAACTATTCGTAGTCATCTAATCACACCGTGTATCACTTGTGCCAAGTATAAGTGAAATAGTAATAAAAACGATAGACGATAGAAACGAAACGGAACAATAGCTATGCAGTATATACAAATACGTCACCGAAAGGGAAATGCCATAAGGTACGGTACGTGACCTGTGTGCCAGACGTTCCGGCGTCGGCCTCGGCGCCGTCTCCACGAGCCTGGCGCGGGGCAGTCACCGGCGTACCTTGTTGACCTCGCGGCCCTCCCGCCGGTAGTTCTTGACGCGCACGGGCACCGCGTACAGCCGGGGCCCCTGCTCCGTCTGGTAGTGCAGGTACAGCTCGTAGAACTCCGTCTCCTGAGCAGCCAGCAGCTCGCGCCCGCTCACCGTGCACGTCTGGTCGAACCGCGACCCGAACCTGGCAGAAACGGGCGGCTCGTCGGGCGCCGACGGGGCCAATACACACCGGCTTATGGCCGGGGCTTGTGCACCAACAGGTCCAACATGCACCCTCACTGGTCAGGGCTGAAGGGCGGACGGACCCTGGGCACGGACTAGTGTCACCAGGCGCTGGATGTGAGCCGACTCAAAGCGCACGTGTAGTCTCAACGCAGCTACGGAACATGACTGTACCCGGATCCCAGCCGCACCCGTCCACGTCAGGTCCACTCAGATCCCAGCCGCACCCGTCCACGTCAGGTCCAGTCAGATCCCAGCCGCACCCGTCCGCGTCAGGTCCACTCGGATCCCAGCCGCACCCGTCCACGTCAGGTCCAGTCAGATCCCAGCCGCACCCGTCCGCGTCAGGTCCACTCGGATCCCAGTCGCGCCTGTCCACGTCAGGTCCACTCGGATCCCAGTCGCGCCTGTCCACGTCAGGTCCACTCAGATCCCAGTCGCGCCTGTCCACGTCAGGTCCACTCGGATCCCAGCCGCACCCGTCCACGTCAGGTCCACTCGGATCCCAGTCGCGCCTGTCCACGTCAGGTCCACTCGGATCCCAGCCGCACCCGTCCACGTCAGGTCCACTCGGATCCCAGTCGCGCCTGTCCACGTCAGGTCCACTCGGATCCCAGCCGCACACGTCCACGTCAGGTCCATTCGGATCCCAGCCGCACCCGTCCACGTCAGGTCCACTCGGATCCCAGCCGCACCCGTCCACGTCAGGTCCACTCGGATCCCAGCCGCACCCGTCCACGTCAGGTCCAGTCAGATCCCAGCCGCACCCGTCCACGTCAGGTCCACTCAGATCCCAGCCGCACCCGTCCACGTCAGGTCCAGTCAGATCCCAGCCGCACCCGTCCACGTCAGGTCCACTCAGATCCCAGTCGCGCCTGTCCACGTCAGGTCCACTCGGATCCCAGTCGCGCCTGTCCACGTCAGGTCCACTCGGATCCCAGCCGCACCCGTCCACGTCAGGTCCACTCGGATCCCAGTCGCGCCTGTCCACGTCAGGTCCACTCGGATCCCAGCCGCACCCGTCCACGTCAGGTCCACTCGGATCCCAGCCGCGCCTGTCCACGTCAGGTCCACTCGGATCCCAGCCGCACCCGTCCACGTCAGGTCCACTCGGATCCCAGCCGCACACGTCCACGTCAGGTCCATTCGGATCCCAGCCGCACCCGTCCACGTCAGGTCCACTCGGATCCCAGCCGCACCCGTCCACGTCAGGTCCACTCGGATCCCAGCCGCGCCTGTCCACGTCAGGTCCACTCGGATCCCAGCTGCACCCGTCCACGTCAGGTCCACTCGGATCCCAGCCGCACCCGTCCACGTCAGATCCACTCGGATCCCAGCCGCACCCGTCCACGTCAGGTCCACTCGGATCCCAGCCGCACACGTCCACGTCAGGTCCATTCGGATCCCAGCCGCACCCGTCCACGTCAGGTCCGCTCGGATCCCAGCTGCACCCGTCCACGTCAGGTCCACTCGGATCCCAGCCGCACCCGTCCACGTCAGGTCCACTCGGATCCCAGCCGCACCCGTCCACGTCAGGTCCACTCGGATCCCAGTCGCGCCTGTCCACGTCAGATCCGCTCGGACCCCAGCTGCACCCATCCACGTCAGGTCCACCCGTGGACCGGGCGACAAGCTATGAAATGACGCAGCGCACGCAGTAATTGCGAGCAAAACTGAAAGACCCAACCACACGGGTCACGTGACATCAGCGACCAACCGGAGCGCAGCGGCCGGCGAAGAGAACAGCTGGGGACAGATGGTGGAGGTGGTGCCATCTAGCGGTGACCGGCCAAGCAGGCGACCGGCTGCGCTGAACCGGGCTACCGTCAGGTTCAGGTATGAGCTCTGATGGCGAGAACGACCGGTTACACCGGCGGCGGCGCGCCAGCCAGTCGCCCGTACACAGCCAAATGGGAGGACCCTTAGGGCTACAACCTCTCATTTTGCCCTTTTCAAGGCGGTCGTCAGTAAGTTCCCAGCCTACTTGGAAGTTATTGCACTATGCAAGCCCATCATAAGCTCTTGACACCAGACATTTCAGAGGTGTCAAAACACCTGTACACACCCGCTACCTTCTAGCTACATGTACACATCCAAAAAGCATTGTATGTGCTTCTTATCTTGTGATCCATGATTGCAAAAGCTAGGTGACGCCAAAATAGATAAGCTGTGGATGAGCACAATTGATTCATTTCATCTTCCACACCATGTTGATCCCTTTATTCCAGAAATATAACACAGGTCCACTGACTGACAGCCTGATGAAGTCCCGCAACACAACTTCATTCTCTTCCCAAGAGACGGAAGCCTGCGAGCCAGACCACCAACGGCGGTTGCCGGCGCTGCGGGCGGCCAGCACCAGCACCGCCAGCGCAGCACCCACCGTCAGCGCCGGCCGGACCGTGTACTCCTGTGTAATGCGCGTGCGGCCCAGTACGGTCTGCGCCTCGTCTTCGGCGTAGTAGAGCCAGGGCACGTGTGGCGGCGTCCGCAGGTGGGACGGACTCAGCAGGCGGAACTGGCCGCACGCCGACGCCACCTCCCGGTGCGAGTACAAGCCCATGGTGCACAGGTTCGCCAGCAGGTGGCAGGCCGAGATGTTGTGGCGGAACTGTCGCACACATCGAAGAAGAGTGGTCGGGTTGGATTACGGGAAGAACGCTAGTGAAAGATAGAAGATTGACATATGGAACGAGTGATAAAACCGAGCGTTTGAACGGTGAGTGAAAGAAACACTGAGAAATTAATCCGGCCAAGAAAGCAGTTCCAAAAAAACTAGCATCTCCATCTTCGCCAGACCAGCAAAACTACCATGTTGTCTCCGATCACATCAATCATCCGTCACGCCAGCATGCCTAGCTGAGCAAGGCTAGTCGGCAAGCTCACCCGGCAGAGGAAGGCGGCGGCGCGCGTGTGCCGGCGGAAGAAAGCCGAGTCGATGGCCGTACCGTCACCGTATTCCACCGTGTACATACTCGGCTCCGAGGGCACCTGGTGACACAGCAGACGCCACGCCGTCAGGATCCGGCCACCCGGGTCGGCCACAAGCGAGGCAGACTGCGCCTCTGGTGACTGCGATCCACCGGCGTCAGCGGTCAGCGACGACCAGCCCACCCGACACCACAGGCGAGGCAGACTGCGCCGCTCATGGCTGTGATCCACCGGCGTCAGCGGTCAGCGACGACCAGTCCACCCGATCCCACAGGCGAGGCAGACTGCGCCGCTGATGACTGCGGTCCACCGGCGTCAGCGGTCAGCGACGACCAGCCCACCCGGTACCACAGGCGAGGCAGACTGCGCCGCTGATGGCTGTGATCCACCGGCGTCAGCGGTCAGCGACGACCAGCCCACCCGATGCCACAGGCGAGGCAGACTGCGCCGCTGATGGCTGTGATCCACCGGCGTCAGCGGTCAGCGACGACCAGCCCACCCGGTACCACAGGCGAGGCAGACTGCGCCGCTCATGGCTGTCATCCACCGGCGTCAGCGGTCAGCGACGACCAGCCCATCCGGTACCACAGGCGAGGCAGACTGCGTCGCTCATGGCTGTCATCCACCGGCGTCAGCGGTCAGCGACGACCAGCCCACCCGGTACCACAGGCGAGGCAGACTGCGCCGCTGATGGCTGTGATCCACCGACGTCAGCGGTCAGCGACGACCAGCCCACCCGGTACTACAGGCGAGGCAGACTGCGCCGCTCATGGCTGTGATCCACCGGCGTCAGCGGTCAGCGACGACCAGCCCACCCGATGCCACAGGCGAGGCAGACTGCGCCGCTGATGGCTGTGATCCACCGGCGTCAGCGGTCAGCGACGACCAGCCCACCCGATGCCACAGGCGAGGCAGACTGCGCCGCTGATGACTGTGATCCACCGGCGTCAGCGGTCAGCGACGACCAGCCCACCCGGTACCACAGGCGAGGCAGACTGCGCCGCTGATGGCTGTGATCCACCGGCGTCAGCGGTCAGCGACGACCCCCCACCCGATGCCACACAGGCGAGGCAGACTGCGCCGCTCATGGCTGTGATCCACCGGCGTCAGCGGTCAGCGACGACCAGCCCACCCGGTACCACAGGCGAGGCAGACTGCGCCGCTGATGGCTGTCATCCACCGGCGTCAGCGGTCAGCGACGACCAGCCCACCCGGTACCACAGGCGAGGCAGACTGCGCTGCTAATGACTAGGGGGAGCACAAGTACCGACAGGGAGACCCGACCAGGTGGCGCATTGGCCGCCAAGTGGTCATCAAATGGCCTCCCACGAGCAATATCGTAATCTAGAACGACTCTAGCGTCCGAGAAGGATGGGTCTGACTCACTTCTTCCTGGTAGACGTGACCTATACTGAATTTAAATCAGGCTCATGTGGAAATGTCATCGTGCAGCTGAATGTCGGAACTTGCAATCGCGCACGTTCACGGGTGCCGTATCATCGGATGTGTTGCTACAGCCACTTTCACAACCATTCGTCCTTAGCTGTCAGCATGCACAGCTGTCTGCAGACACAAAGGATCCACCGGTCCGTACCGCGCGTCGGTTCGCCACTGTGACTGGGCCGGTGGGTTCGCACCGACAACCTGTACCCGGCCAGCTTCAGCACGTCTGGCCTGAGGCCCCACGCCGGCTGCCCACCCCAGTGTCTGTGCCAGTGCGCCAGACAGCTGCAGCCGGCCCAACAGGCTGTGCCGGGTGCCTGCTGCCCGCCAAACCAGCACTGTCGCCTGAGCCTCGAGCGCCGGGACCGGTGCGGCCCGGCCGGGCGGTGGGTGCCACCTGCCTGGTTAAGCTCCGCGGCGCCGATGCAAGAGCCGTCCAGCACCAGGTGGCCGTCCGGGCAGCCGCAGCCGCCGGCTGAGGCGGCCAGGTACGACTGGTCGCAGCGGCGGCACAGGCCGCCGGCTGCCGGCAGTGCCTCCGGGCCGCAGCGCAGGCAGCCGCGCGCCCGACGCGTGCCGTTCGGCGTCAGCTCCACTGTCGACAGCGCCGCCAGACAGTCAGGTCACTCCGGCCCAGCGCCATCGGCCACAGCGCTGGGCAGACTCGATGGGAAGCGCTGGTCGCGTGCACGAATACACGATTAACACGTTACTCACTTCCAGCATTTACAAAAAAATATTAATCATGACATGGTACGTGCCCAACAAACTGCACGCAAGTTCCGTGCACACAACAGGCGATGGTGCGTAATGGTAAAATACACGGTCTCTCATGCTCGACTGGTGTGTTCGGAGGTCAGCCTCGGTGAACAGTACCTGTGACGGAGTCCGGCGGGCACTGCGAGCACGTCCGGCCCTCCGGGTCGTAGGTCAGGGGCGCCTCGCAGCGCACGCAGTCCAGCCCGTCCTCGCTGGTCACGTGGTTTGGGGGACAGTTGACACAGGAGAGTTCTCCAGTCACTGCCTCATATGTCCGCCAGTACCCTGGCTGGCAGACACACTCCAGACCTGCCGCAGCCAAAATAGTAGCAGCTGGGCAATGTGGTTGGTAGCCCAGTGGCCACCTGTGTCCTGGCAGGCTGGCTAGGCAGGAACACATTGCACACCAACTGACTACAACACAACACCAGCCAGCATCAGCCCACTGAGTTATGACAAAAGATGCTGCTTATCACAAAGCACACTACAATTATGATGCTAGATGTGGGGAGTGAAAAAAGCCTAGTCTGTTTGCATGCCCTGAAGTCCCAATAACCATTAGTTTCATGTCAGAAGTGTTCCAAAGGCCTTACTAGAAAAGTGCACATTAAATTATCCTGTACATGCCCAGAAAAGCTATAAAATAGTCTACACACAATAATTTCCCAGCATGCTTACCATGAACACAGGCATCAATTTCCATGCATGATCTCTACCAACTTTGGAGCATAGATAGTTAATGTTTCCAGGCATTGTTGTGTTGTCAAGGCAACTTCAAGCAAGAATGTAACACAGACAGATTAAAGGTTGAACACAATTTGGCCTGGCCTTATATCAGCACATGCAAGCATGAGGCACCAATATCACGCAAGCACCTTGTGCAGTGGATGGGTGTTTGTATGCTGCCATACAAGCACCCTGCGAAGTGGTGATTGGCCCAAAGGTGTAAACATTACTTCCTGCTGCAACATGCAACATGTGTAGCCTATGTTGCAGGATTTTAAGGCAGAATTCTGCCCAAAAAATACTTGGAGAGCGTATGTTGGTAGAAATAATGTGTCTAAAGGTGTATGGTGTGCAGAAGATGTCTTGGCTGTCATCTAGCAATAATTACATGCATTCCAGTCCCATGTATAACTACTACCTATTTTTCGACACTCCAAACATTTCAAACAGGTTAATGTGGGTTGATGCTGGCCTACCAACACACATGACTATCCCTGACAAAATGCACAAATGGCAAAAATACTTACCATCAGTGGACCTGACTTGAAACTTCCCACATTCAGCACACTGGAATGCAGAAGTACTAAAAAACTCCGTTTGAGTACAGTCCGAAACTCTCTGGTACGGAAAGTACTCTGCACTTTCTATGTGTACCAGTGCGAACGAGACGCAAATGACAGTCTTCCACGCCTCCATCACGACGAACGCTCATCGAACCACAACAACACAGCTATTGATTCGACTCTGCATACATTTGAAATCAATGGTTCAGAGAAACAGGCAGCAGCCTCGATAGCCCGCGCGACAATCACTCAAAAGCCACTTGACCAAATCGCCGGGGGATCCAAACGCAGCAAACACGCAACCACGCACACATTACCGATCGGAACAGTGCTTGTTTACATTCACATTTGACGCGCGCTATGCGACTGCGCGCATGCGCGAAGACTTCTGCTGCTACGCGACTAGCTAAAATACAATAGATTTCCACACAACCACAGTGTTGAGCAAAAACAATCAGTACAGGTATATGAAGGTAGTAAAACAACATTCTTAAAGTACATTACATATAATTTTGGGCTTAAAAATGACTTAATGGTAAACATCACTAGACTAAGATGATGATGATGTAAGCAAAGGCATGGTTGTTCGCAATATACGGTAAGTTCAGGGCGTGAGATGCTGTAAATGCATTCGTTGCGCATTTATCTGAGAGATTTAACATTAAATCCATCACTAGCCATTCTATCAGGTATAGGTGGTTTTGAAAGCGTGGGTTTGTGGACACTGCAGAAAGCGCGCATTTTTTCGTTGACAGTATTATAGTGGTTACACTCAGATTTTTTCACTACGAGAAGTGGCGCAGCAGTGACGATAATGCAATCTATTAAAACTCGTAAGGCTCCTCTGAAATCACCAAAGTTTGCTTGTGGGGGATACCCATTATTGTTTTAACCATTTGGCACTGTGTAAGCAAAAGTCATTAAATGTAACAAACACATTGATCGTCTGAAAACAGTCAGAATCGGTGATGCAGCGTAGATCAGTAGGTCTTTTCTTAAGACTCAAGAAGCCGTGCACATCAATATGTCGGAACTCAACGGCTGTTTCAAGATGTGGAGTAGGTGTTACGACGGATGTTACCAGGTTTGTGTTTGGGTTAGATTTTGCAAATATTTTTTATTTTATTTTCAGCAACCACATCATAACTTTTTGAGGATAAATCATTGGTGTCCTTTAGATTGTGCTTCTGACTTATGGCTGAAGCCCATTTGATGATTGGATGGCTTCCCAGCACCCTGTAGGTGCTGACAAGATGGGAGATCCTGTTTGAAAGTAATACTTGGTGAGGAATCAGGAGGTGGAAGCATGTCAATGGTTAAGTAGTGCCTCCCCCACAATTTCTTACCATGTTGCTCAGAAATTGCAAAGGCTGCTTGGCCTATTGCTCCCAATTTTTATGGGCTCCCACCCAGGAAATCAAGGAATCTAACTTTAAGAAATGTGATTGTTGTTGTTGTTGTTCATTGGTGTTTTCAGGCATGTCAACTGCAATGGTCATTTTGTGCCCCAAGACGTGATTGATGTGGGATCTCCTACATGGTGTCAGCCCATTGTAAATTGAGTAGATTTAAACTGCTAAACTAAGGTTGATAATGCCACTTTTGGTCATAGAGCATTGCAGTCATTTATGACATCAGTGCTGAGCATGTTTTGGTGGATAAGGGTTCTTGGTTGATGCTTTTGCTCGGGTTCCATTGGTTTTCTCTTATGTAATCAATAATTTTTATCAGCAAACACACACAAATCATTAAAAAGTGATAATTGTGCAAGGAACCTTTGCAACCATTATGTTATAGTGAGAGCATGGATGTGTGATACTGCCATAGCAGGCATACCTGTATGTCTGCATAGACACCAAGGCCAAACATCAGGCAGAATAGTATGTAAAGCAAGAATCACTCTGATTATTTCCTTGGCCAAACACAGCCAAATACTGGTACAGGCTCAGCCCTGCTAAAAGTGCAAGCATAGGTCAATGTGTATTTTCTTTTTATATGTTGTATATGGGTTGTGCCAGGCCCTTTTCCTGCATGCTACCACCTATAAAATGCAAAGATCACTTTAAACTTGATAAAGTAATGCTGATCACATCTTCATGTGCTTAAATATTGCTTTCACTGTCATCATTTAAGGCACTGATTTTCTTTATGCCCCCAGGTCAATGCCACCTTGTACTTCATCTAAGGGCTCCCAAGATGGCATATGTCAGATCAGGATGCACCCACACCATGTGCCATCACGCTCATTCATCTCCCTGCCAGGCACCAGCAGCAAGAAGCGAGAATATTCAGAGCGACGCCTGCTTGGGTGAGGTTTGCTCTTGCCTTATAACTGTCAGCAAAGGTAGTGAAAAGATGTTGTTTCAAAGCAAAGGCTGTTTGTTTTCTGGCACTTTCTGCTTTGCAGGCACCTTGATTCTCCAATAGTGCATCATACGCATGTCACTCTCGCCCTAATGTAGGTTTTTGTGACCTTCCTGTAAGGTTTTCCAACAATAACTTGTTGGCATGCATGTAATCACGACCAAATTAATTTTTGGTAGTCTCTGGGGATTTTTTCGTGCATGGTTTAATGCTAATGACGTCTAGCATTTTTGGTTTGTGTACAGTGACGTTTTTAGGAGCACAGCCCAGCAATGTACAGCTATCGCGGGCGGTGGGGGCGGGAGCCGGTGAATCCGCCAATCGCGGGTGGCTTACATTCATGGAAGCTGACACCGTCACATCAATGTACGTTTGATGCAACAAGAAACGTCTGTATAAGGTTGATGTCGCGTCCCAGCGTGGTTTCGTAAGCATTGGAATGGAAAGCCGAAATAATCCGATTTTCAGGATAACTTTTTGTTTGCCTTGGCTAGCTGGGATCAATTATTGGCTAGGCGACATGAATTGCGACCAGTCGCGAAATCTTGTTGCGGGCAATCTGCATTCTAAGTATGGAAATGGCAGAGATTGCATTGACGCTCCCCCCCCCCCCCCCCACACACACCTATCCGTTTGCGTTCTAAATAGGTGAATCTGGGTGAGGGATGACAAGAACAGACCCAGTATTAAATCATAGTAGGACTCAGTATTGTGCACATAGTTAGCAAACCAAGCCCAAAGAAAGCAAAAACTCAGGACCATACGGTCCAAGTACGGTTAAATGCGGCTTGTCTTCTCCGTAGCTCAATTGGTGCGAGGGTCTGTCTCCTGTCGCGCCGGTGGCGTGGACCGGGTTCCAGTTTTTTCGGCTCTCACTATCTGCTTCCGGCTGGGATGGCCTGCGACTGGTAGCAGCGACCGCCCAAGGTCATATAAGGTCAGGGGGCTGGGCGGACGATCCGAGTATTGCGGCACGTTAAACTTCGTACACAAAATTCTGCCGCTGGAACTGAAATGCAACCTAGTTACTTACTTACTGTGTCACTGAGTCGCTGAAGTTGCTTGTCATTTGGTATGAAGGTACTGAGGGCGGTCAGCACTCTGTGTACACTCGCATTGAAGGCATTTGTGGTATAAATCCAGCGTTAAGAGAGCAGTTTTGTTGTAAACTGTAAGCCTCGCTACCGGACGTAGGCAAGCATTATCAGCCATCGTACGGGTACCCTGGGCTGTCTATGGAATTGGAAATGGTAGTATTGTGGCGCCTGATGGCTGTGGGCAATGTCTTGATGCTATGTCCATGACATGTATTTGTGTGTAAGGCTAGCCCCTTTTTAGCGTATATACAGGGGTTTTGTTTGTGTTATTGACACCTCGGCTAGATTGGAAAACCTGCTACTTCCGAGATTTGGACGACCAAGTTCGGTTCACAAAAGGCGTACCTACAGGATACATTGGAGAACCTGCTACTTCTGGGATTTGGACGGGCAAGTTTGGTTCACAAAATGCATACCTACATATATAAATATGTAGGTACGCTTTTTTGTTTTTTTATATGGTGACCGAAAAGTCATCGTATGAACCCAGGTAGATGTAAATTTCGTCTTGATTTTTCGTTCTGATACTGGTTGGAGTTCTTTGATTTCGTGCTTTTCAAGTGATAGGCTGTTGGCTCCCTTCAAAGAATCTTCTGAACGACCAGAAGGTTTTTGTCTGGAATACAGAAGATTTACGCCTGGAACCAAGGAGATTGCACGTGGTGATTGTTTAGCGGTCTCTTCGAAGTGAGTCATGGTTCAAAATTCTTCTAACGCACACATTTCAACAGTTTCCCTCAGTGTTGGTAAAAAAAAGCAGATGTGAAAATAAGCGTTTGTAGTTTTGTATATTTTTGTGGTGGCCCCTATCTTATGATAAGGCTTAACATATGCGTCTCGAATAAATATATGGCATGGTGTTAGCCGTGACAAGAAGACAACAGAAGGGGCGAACATGCTCTAATATTTCTTACAGCTTCTTATTATGACGCTTATAGTACTGGAAGACTGGGTATGTGTACCCGGAATGCAAAATGGGGTTGGCGTGACCTTGCGGTTTTTAGGATATGCCTTGCATACGGGGCGGGTGCGAGTTTTCAAATTCGGTTGCGGGTTTCCAGGCGTCAAAAATTGGCAGCTTGCATCACTACCAACTGAAATAGTTACCGTTTTTGTGACTGGTCCCTCGCTTCAGTGCTATGAGCTAAAACACTGGTGGTACTATAGCGTCTACGTCACGTTCGCCCCAAATTACGCTCATACTGAGGTTAGTAGACTATAGACAGAAAAATCACAGAAGAGCTAACGAATCTTTTGAGCGTGCTGCATGGTCCCGTCAACAGCCAGCATCTTTGTTAGCAATGCTGTTTGGTTAGCCCAGTGTTTTCAGCACGTTATCTTAACGCAAAATATGGGCAAGAATAACAGTTTTCTTAACTGGAAGCCCTTCGCAGAAGTTTGTTGTGTCTCAAAGCATTCGTACGGATTACGGAACAACACTGAGCAGTGGGTAGGTTACTAAAGGTTTGTGTATAATGGGGCTTAAACCAGAAATTTTGGTATTGGACACGGCTGTGCGTCTCATTTCTTACAATGATTGTTTCACATTTATACATTACGCGAGATAAATTAATTGTGTGAAAGGATGACATTGGCCAGCCGTGTTAATGAAAACTGCCATAATGGCGCAGGTGATCATTATGTTATCGGAAGTTCCCTGTCGCTATGTCCTGATCGTGCACGTTTCATTGCCCTGCTGGACACTTATGGGTGCATAAATGTAAGCGTATTGTGTGAAAGTGGTAAGGGTAAGTCGGAAGAGCCCATTGGTGGAAATGATCGCTGACCTCTTTAGTTTATTGCTGTTAATTGTACTCATAGGCTTATGTCGGCTTTGCACTCCGTATGTCTTGAAGAACGTGCTCTCATGAAAACTTCCATGGCCGATTATTTGTTCACACTGACTCAAACAGCTCGACGTTGTGTGGTGGATGGTAAAAACATTGAGATAATTTCTATCTTTCCATTGGGCACTTTTCATGCAGCAAATATGTCGTGTGTAGAAGCGCTCACATCACATTTCTTTAGCGCTGACTCGGTATCGCATATCCCACTAATGGCTTACGTGATCTCGTGTCACGATAAATAAGCAAACGGCTCCCGTTACAACGGCACGTCCCGTGTGTGCATCCAATGACACGTTGCGGGACGCTGGGGCCGGGTAATTGGCGGGCTGCGCCGCACCGCTGCCCCGCCGCCGTGTGGGCGGTGGTGGCCTGGCTGAGTCCTCCTCACCCCCCCCCCCTTTCCCCCCCCCTCCTCCCACGCAGGTACTCGATGGACCAGATGTACGAGATCGTCTCGGCCGTCGAGGAGTACACCCTCTTCGTGCCCTACTGCACCGAGTCGGTGGTGGTGGCGCGCCGGCCCAACTTCCTGAAGGCGCGCCTGGCCATCGGGTTCGGGCCCGTGCGCGAGGCGTACGTCTCGAGCGTGACTCTGGCGAGGCCGCACCTGGTCAAGGCCGTCTGCACCGAGGGCCGCATGTTCAATCATTTGCAGACCGTATGGAAGTTCGCGCCCGGCCTGGCCGGCAACGCGCGCACGTGCGTGCTCGACTTCTCGGTCTCATTCGAGTTTCGTTCGGCACTACACTCCCGGCTGGCCAACATGTTCTTCGACGAAGTCGTGCGGCACATGGTCAACGCGTTTCTCCGAGAAGCTAACAAGCGCTTTGGTCAGGAGAGCATACGCAGCCAGAAGCCCAAGGTTATCGTGGCTAGCTGACGACTTGCTCGCCTAGAAAATGGCTTGGGCGCAAAGAAGTGTTGGCCACCCGAGCAACTCTTGCTCGCATAATGTCCGGGCTTCAAGGCATAGTTAAAGGAAATCGACTAGGAAAACCTTCATGATCGCTGAGCGCGTGTGGGTTTAATGAAGAATTAAGCAGTTGCGCTGTGGTAGCTTGCAATGTTTTACTCGTGTTGTAATTGTCACGACGCGTGGATCCACCAATTTTGTGTTCGTTCCCGCAGATCAGTCGGTTTTATGACCTTTCGACATGCCCTATTATGTCTGCCTTGGGTGAATGCCACCTTATGCACACATTGCGTAACTTCCCGCCGATATATGCGTGTATACCAGGATGTTTTCTCTCAGAAAGTTGGCAAGCACATTTAAACAGTTCTTGTTCAAAATGATGAGCTCTTCTATCAAGATAACTAGTCTCGAGGCAAGCTCTGCTTGCATCAACAAAGCAGATGTTCAAGTATGTGATGGAATGTCCGTGCTTCGAAGTGTGCTTTTGTCTTGGAGGCATGAGCGGTGAACGTCGTGGGATATGCAAAGGCCCCTAATACAAAGGAATGAAAACGGTGGGCTTTGGGTAGATAATAATAATAGAAAGGGACAGGTTTTTGTGCGTATTTTCGGACATGAAAGGTGCAAACTTAATTTATTGGATTGTGTTTTTCATTTTCGCGTGTTTTTCCGATTTGTCTTCATTGCATTCCTCATAAAGCTAGAAATGTACTGTTTTACTGGCTGGAATGATTTATTAGCGCCAGCCGTCAGAGATAAGGATTGTTCTTGGCTTCTGCTGTCGTCTCTTTGTTTCGCACTAACTGCGAACTGCGTTGTCAACAGTGCAGGATGCCAAGTGTTTGGTTTCACTGCGTCGTGCTGCAGTCCGGCGCATGACTCGCAAGTCCATTCTTGACCTACATTTGTCTTTCAGTGTCATAATATCTACACACCCTGTGTCGTGTGTTTATCTCGTGCTATCTTTATGTAACCTCAAATGCCTGCGTGACTCGAATGTTAGGACCATGGGATATAATGGTCCATTTAATCCAGGCTGGCAAACAGCGCGGTTGCTGCACCCAGTCTTGTGCTCGTTGCGCTCGTATGCGTCCTCATTGCGCGACAGCGATCAGGAGGTGCCCGCGGTTGTGTCTATGAGGATTCGTTGGGTATGGGCTTCCTCTGCCATGTGTATTGACTAACTTACGAACGGCAATGACACAGCGGGATGAAGAACGTTACGGCGTATCCGACCGCAGGCCTAGACACGGTCCGCCTCGAGACCCTGCGGTTGCCACACACGAGGGACCGTCCATAAATAACGTTATGCGTCTTTGGCCATTCTCCCATCCCCTACCCCTGGACATGCACTTGGCTACGCTTGCCCACAACCACTCCCTTGTCTGTACGGTGAAAATATAAAAAAGATTTCCTCATGACCTGCAGCCAAATTTGAGCGTAACGTTGCGGTGTCCAAATCGCCCTCACCCTTGTTGCGCTTTCTTTACGCTCGGTCAAGATCCCCTCCATGCGTAACGTTATTTATGGACGGCTTTTTAAAACCACATTAACACTGGCATGGCACAGGGAGTATCCGTCGTTAACAATATCAACGCGCTGGTTCAATATCACAGTATCTCACTACGCTACGCATGGTCAAGAAAGTCCGCCTTTCGCAGTGATGCTACATTAATTTTTTCTTTCCATATCTTGTTAGGTCTGACAACGTGAAGAACTGTCCACGCGTCGTGGTTAGTCGTCGCCGCCCACGAGTCGTAAGTACACCGCACGCACGCGTGCGCCAATCCTGCCAGGTTGACAAGGACGGCACGGCGAAGATACGATATGGTATCCAAGCACGCGCGGGCACGTGCTGGAGAGTCCCAACCAGCGGTTCCAAGCGCAAAGTACCCGGGCTTCGTCAGCTAAGTCATCCATCCAGTGCGCACATTTTCGTACGTTTTTCAAGAGGGAGCAAGCAGTGCGTGCGGTAGCGCGCGCGCACACATTTTTGCGCCAAGGGCAGCGCCAACGCCTTACGCGTGCGGACTAACGCGCCTTGCTGCTTGTGCTGGCGGCGGCCGCGGCGCGGTCGACGCGCCTCCAGGCCGGTGTGCGGGGCGGCTCCTCGGCCTCCGCCGGCGGCCGGTCACGCCCCGCGCTCCGTCGGCGAGCTACCTGGCCGTGCCGGCCAGCCTCACCAGGCCGAAGAAGCTACGGTCCGGTAGGAACTGAGAGATGCGCAGCCGCTGCAGGTCATGGATGGTGACCGAATCACCTGCGGGGCGGCGAGCGTGGTCAGACGAAAGCGTCACGGTAGCGGGAGCGGCGCGCATGGTCAGGCGGGAGTGCCACGGTAGAGGGAACGGCGCGCGCGGTCAGACGAGAGCGTCACGGTAGCGCGAGCGGCGCGCGTGGTCAGGCGAGAGCGCCACGGTAGCGGGGGCGGCGCGCACGGTCAGACGAGAGCGTCACGGTAGCGGGAGCTGCGCGCGTGGTCAGGGGGGAGCGCCACGGTAGCGGGAGCGGACGCGCGCGGTCAGACGAGAGCGTCACGGTAGCGGGAGCGGCGCGTGGTCAGGCGAGAGCGCCACGGTAGCGGGAGCGGCGCGCGCGGTCAGACGAGAGCGTCACGATAGCGGGAGCTGCGCGCGTGGTCAGGGGAGAGCGCCACGGTAGCGGGAGCGGCGCGCAGGTCAAACGAGAGCGCCACGGTAGCGGGAGCTGCGCGCGTGGTCAGGGGGGAGCGCCACGGTAGCGGGAGCGGCGCGCGTGGTCAGGCGAGAGCGCCACGGTAGCAGGAGCGGCGCGCGTGGTCAGGGGAGAGCGCTACGGCAGCGGGAGCGGCGCGCGTGGTCAGGCGAGAGCGCCACGGCGGCGGGAGCGGACAAGAGCGCCCACAGCCGCCGACCGGCCAGTGCGGTGACGCGGGTTTATTGCTACTGCAGATTACGAGAGCATGCGATCAGCGCTGACGCCTCGCAGCTCCGACATCAAAGCGGGTGTCGAGCTGGCACCGACGCACGCGAGCTGGGTGCCAAACAGAAGTCCTGATCGATGTTTGTCTGGTGTGCTGCTTTCATCGTCCCTCACGTCATCATGCGCTGATTTGGTGGTTAGCGTTAGAGGTCACACATCGCTACAAACATCGCATGAGGTTTATTTGTACACATTGGTGGGGAACAAGTGTTATCATGTGCTATGCATCAAAATATACAAATCTAACGTCAGCAGTGAATAACATTAAATACCAGGTGACGAAACTTTCCTAGTGAATTTACCGCCGTTCCAGAAAATTCTGTAATATATGTGCCTCATGGGATGTTGATCAGCCCTGAATCTGTGCGCACGAATAAGTCGCGTCTATTTCATTGCGTATACTGCTCTGATGCGACCGTCTGATTCCAATTTTGCGAACGAGTGGGTCCCAAAATCCCGTTTTCATACTACTCCCGTGTCTGTGCCGACGAAGTTTAAGCAGCGGCAGAAGTCGCGTCGATGAAGCCATTACCATGCCTCGCATCCAAGCGTACCGGCGCGGTCGTCCCACCTGAATTCAGGTAGGTGGCAGCACTGGTGTGACACGTGTTGGCCTTCTGCTTGTTGTCGCTGCCCTCCATCGTCAGGCACGTCACGATCGGGCGGCTGTCCACGCGGATTTCAAACCCATTGAGGTCGCTGACATCAAAGTAATTGATCTGGAAACAGTCGCAGTGCATGTGGGCGGAGCGCGCGCGGCCATGACTACCGCGGTCTTAGGTCTTTTCTATGGCGACACATTTGATTGAAATTCAACGTCAAGTTCTGATTCGCCTTAAATGCGTTTGCAGGCTAAACAACGTACGCTGGTTAAGAAATGCGGTTCGTTACGCGTTTTTTTTATCTTACAGGTGCTATAGATATCAGATATCAGATATCCTCCCGATATCAGAGAACAAAGTCGACCAGCAACAACGTACATGAATGTCGTTTAGAATAGGAAGACCCCGCATGAAACGCAGGTACTCGTACCATCCCAGGGCAGCAAAATCACCTTCCGGTGTCAATTTTAAGGGCCATGCTCAAGGTCAAAGGACGGAGTGGCGCAGCACTGCCACTGCATGGGACGGATGGCCATAAATAGGGTGTCGTCTGAGAGCCTGGTAGCCACTCCAGCCAGGACTATCAAAATGCCGCCATTCAAGGTTAGTCGGTTCGATTAGGATGCTCCAAATGTCTTTAGACCTTAAATATGCCCCTCCAGTTTGTACGTGGTTCACGTGCTTTGGGCAGCTTGGACCTGGCTCCCAAATAGCACCTGATTTGTATAGACCGGGCACACACAGCGGGAGTACGGCGCTACCCCTCCCTTCGACCGTGGGTGTGATAGTGGCAGTACGGCGCTACCCCTCCCTTTGACCGTGGGGGTGATATTGTGGATTCACCCTTATTCATGCCTTTTCGAGGGCCTGCGCCGTAATGATTACCTGGCTCTCAGATGACACCCTATTTGTCGTCATCAGTCCCAGTGCAGTGCAGTGCTACCCTGTCGTCAGCAGTGCAGTGCTACCCTGTCTTTTGACCTGGCTAATTTTGCGTTATCAGCTTTTTTACCTAAACAGTTTCTTAAAGGGTGGCGTTTTGGTAGCCCAGGTTGGAATAGACGCTGGACTTTCTAAACACTTCCGATTTGCACAATCGGTCCCATAATGCAGCAGCGCGGCATGTCTCCGATCTTTGACCTTGATAGCAGCCTTCATGGTTGACCTTGATTCACGCGTTTTTTAGGTCTTAGCGCGGACGTGGGCCTGTTTTTCATACGCTGTTTTCGCTGATATCTTTCATGTGGGATTGTTACTGGTTGACTTTGTTTTCTGACCTCTGGATGTCAAACCACTTTAGATAGAACAATACGGACCGCAGTTTTGTAGCCCGTGGCTTGTTTGGTCCATGAATACATCCTAAGTGAATCAAAACTTGAAGCTGAATTTTGATGTAAATAGATGGCGAATTATATATATATATATATATATATATATATATATATATATATATATATATATATATATATATACAATGGCGTCGCTGTCCGACGGTTTCCACGCGCTGACCGCGCGGCGGCGACGCGGACCTGCGGCCGTACCTGGGCGTAGATGTAGTAGACGCCGGGTCGCCGGACGGTCACCTGGCCGCCGTACAACTGGAAATCGTCGCTGAAGCCGTGGCGGCTCATCCAGGCGGCGTGTCGCCAGTCGGCGAACATGCCGTCCGGCTGGCTGTTGCGCAGCACACCGTTACCTGGGTAACGGTCGGCCCGTCACACAGGCACGTCACACACGCAGGCACGCGTACAACAGTCACGTAGGCACGCACACAACAGTCACGTAGGCACGCACACAACAGCATCGGCGAGTGTGACGGTGCACAGGGACGAGTTTTGAGAGCGTTTACCGGACAGGAGTTCCAGTCCATGCACCTCGCACTAAGCAGAGGATTTCCGGTCAGATGGCGGCAGACGTAGTGGTGGCACTGTTGAAAATGCACGTTTCACGTGTTTCTGATTCGAATCGCTCATGCCTCTCGCCATCTTGGCAATGCTCTAGACGACGTGCGTTGTGACGTCGGTGCTATGTCCCAAATTCTGTTGGTGCATCATGGGCTGGTGCATCGCGATGATGACATTCGGCAGCAGTTGGCGCCAGACAAGTGATTGGTGTAACACAGGCCCGGCACGCCCGACGGGTGGAGGCCTTGTTTGCGCTGGCAGGGAAAGACGCATTCCGTTCGCAGCTGTTGTCAGGATCAATCGAAGCGAATGCGGCAGTCACGAACCAGCGCATGTCTACTGGTTGCACATCACGTTCCCAAAGTAACTCGCTCAAATCGGTCTGGAACGAATGCTTGTTCACGATGCAAAGATAGCGAGTTGCATGTACTGCGGAACACCTATGGTATCGAAGGTGGGCGACTTCATGGTTGAACGGCAACGATAACCGACCATGGCTCACAATCCGCTGCGATCTGTCGGGACGCGGTCAGGGCGGCCGGTGCCAGGCGCGCTACGGTCTGCTGCGAGCGGGACACCGCTGTAAGACAGCACCAGCCCCACAGCACCAGTTCGGACACCGCGCCGAGCGGCGAGGGTTTTTCGAACCTGCGTAGTGGGGGTGTGACAGCGTGTAGTTGGCGGTGTGACCCTCGAAGTGGGCGGCGGTGACGCTGAGCGAGTCGCGCATCTGCTCCATCATGCGCATGAGCCGCTTGCTCCTGCCGTGGCCCGACCTCGACTTGTGACCGCCGCTGCCGCTGGAGGGGGCCGCGAACCCGATGGGCGCCCGGCGCGCCTCCGCCGTCGACCGGCCCTGCACGGACGCGCCGCGCGGGCGTCAGCACAGCGGCCCACCATCGTGACAAATGGGCTCGGTTCACGTTGATTTCTGCCACGCGAGCTGTGACGCGACGAGTTTAAAATTTCGCTAAGTAATGGTCCATTATGAGCCAACAACAACAGAATGTCGTTTTCTTGAGAGCGGCATTCATATGAGTTGCTTTCTTTCGACTAATTCCCCAACAGCTGGCCAGGTCTTGCATATTTACATGCTGTTTGCATCGTGACGCTATGTTGATGAAAGTTAACTGCAAAAGCATGCAAACATATTCTGGTTTTCTCCCATTGAAGAGCTATATTGGGAAGTGCATCTGCATCGCATCATCGCTTGGTGCTCGCGATGGGAATCGCTACCCTCTGACGGCATTGGCAAGGTTAGGAGGCCTGGCGGCCATCTGCCCTGGGATCCACGGCCCTTTCCGCACGGTCGTGATCTTCTGCATCGTAAAACAGATGTTACGGTTCCTTTCCGATCAGAAGACGCTAGCTGGTCTAATTAGTTGCATGAAATAACGAAGGCGTGGTGGGGACTCCTTTTTGTAGTCATCATGCTCGTCATCAAAAACATTGGAAGGACAATACAATTACGTAACAAAAAAAAAAACAACGACAAAGACGATAGACCCAACAGCTTCCCATTCTGAAGCTTACCCATGTCGGTTTGTGAGCCAAAGCGTTGGCCGCTGCATCTGCGAGCAGCGCACCTCCCGTCCCGAACGGTCACCCTCCTGACCTGTCGTGCCACGGCCCCGACCCCAGCCAATGCGCCTCTCTCGAGCGTCCGCTGCCCCCTGACCTTGGGCCGGGCGGCGCCGGCGCGGCGGCGGGCCACGGCGCGGGGTCGGCTTCTCCTGCGGGCCTGTCGCACGCGGGAGCGCCGGTGATGCACGCCAGCCTGGGCGGCGCGCGGCCGGTCCGTGGTGCGCGGGTCGGTGGACGCCTGGGGCGCCGCCTCGGCCGCGTTGACTCGACCCAGCTTGCCGGTGCGGAAGGCGGCGCTGCTCCTGCCAGGCGGAGACGCGGTCAACAGGGCAGCACGGCAGCAAGATGCATCCTGCGCATCATACATGCAGGCAGGGACACACTACGAGCCATGGTTTGCCCACAATTTCACACGTGTCCTGAGTGTCGGATTGCGGCATGGTGTAACCCAGTCCCGACAGTCGTATCTGTGCGGACAACGACAAAGCATTGCAGCAATGCACATCGGCCGCGCGTGTATGAGGGGAATGACAACGCCGTCAACTGCAATCGCTTTCCGCTATCTGACTACGTGACGAGCAGCGAGCAAGCCAGTTTGGCTGCTCCACCAGGATTATAATTCAAGAGAACTACGAGCCATATTTGAAACCTCGGCCCACACGGAACGCCCCGTTCCATGCGGCGCAGGCCGTTGTTACCGGCCTGGGAGCTGACTGCCGGCGCTGCAGGAGCATCTTCCGTGACCGGCTGACCTGTGGTGCGGCAGGATGGTGCCGTCGCTGCCGGCCTTCCCGCTGGAGAAGCTGTCGTACACCTGCAGTCCGTCTGTGCGGGGCTGGTGGCCCGGCCGGTGGCCGTACGGGCGGTCCACGATAGGGATGCCAGCAGCGTTGGTCTGCGGGGCCGGGCCATTCACAGAGCGACGCTGCCGGAACTGCGGCGACACTGACTGAAACGGCCGGCACAGCGGTACTGAAGACACCGACTGAAACGGCCGGCACGGCGACACTGAAGACACCGACTGAAACGGCCGGCACAGCGACACTGAAGACACCGACTGAAGCGCTGACACCGACTGCACTGAAGACACCGACTGAAACGGCCGGCACAGCGGCACTGAAGACACCGGCTGAAACGCCCAGCATAGCGGTACCGAAGACACCGACTGAAACGGCCGACACAGCGGTACTGAAGATACCAAATGAAACGCCCAGCACAGCGACACTGAAGACACGAACTGAAACAGCTTGCACAGCGGTACTGAAGACAACGACTGAAACAGCCGGCACAGCGGTACTGAAGACACCGACTGAGACGGCCGGCACAGCGGTACTGAAGACAACGACTGAAACGGCCGGCACAGCGGCACTGAAGGCACCGACTGAAACGGCCGGCACAGCGACACTGAAGACACCGGCTGAAACGGCCGGCACAGCAGCACTGAAAACACCGACTGAAACGGTCGGCAGAGCAGCACTGAGGACACCGACTGAAGCGGCACTGCAGACACGAACTGAAACGGCTGGCACAGGGGCACTAAAGACACCAACTGAAATAGCCAGCACAGCGACACTGAAGAAACGAACTGAAACAGCTGGCACAGTGGCACTAAAGACACCAATTGAAACGCCCGGCACAGCGGCACTGAAGACACCGACTGAAACGGTCAGCACAAGGGCATTACACAGTGAGCACACCAGTTAAGATACAAGCCAAGGTGGTCAGAACAGCAGTGTCGCGGACTGAATTGTGACGGCCCGCCCCAAGCCACTGCGGACTCCAAGTGAAACGGCCATCACGTAGTTGCTATGCAGTGTACTCTAACCTGCACATATAAGGCAGCATCATGGGTACACCCCTGGCGGAACAGCTCGCATGGCCGCACGCCCAGGCGCATGTCAAGGATTACATCGCGCCTTGTCTCCGTACATAAACATATGTCTTGTGAACCGGAGTGCTTAATGTACCCTTATGGCAGACGACCGGTCTCTGAGCTCCACCCACCTCTTGCATCAGTGATGGCTAGGCCTCATGTCCAGCACGCCCTGCACTCGGCGCGATAATTAGTGGTCAGGTGCATGGAGCTCGGCAGGCACAGCACGCGCTAGCCCGACATGCTGTCCTGCCCACGACCAGCACAACACGGCGTGCGAACCACCGACTCATCACCGCGGCAGCAGAGCGTGGCCCGCGCCGACGCAGCGAGACAAGGGCGCAGACAGTTACCGCAGAGGGACGATGTAATCCGATTACACTTGATCAGTTTCTGTCCCACCCAGCGCTTGCACTGCACATTTGCATTGCGTCGTGCACGCGGCCCGGCGCCGCCAGCGCCTGGGGACCGGTCCTCGTCCCCCGCTGCGGCCCAGTTAGGCGCGGCCCGGCGGCGAGGCCGGCCAGCGTACGTGCGGCCGCGCGCGCTCGCGTGAAAGGAGCCTCGGCCGGCCGCAGAGGTGGCCTCTGACCTGATGAACGGGCCCCGGCGCCAAAGCGGCCGCGGCCGGCTGACGCGGCACCGCTGGATGTGTGTGAAGGACTTGGCACGGCTCTGTACATATAAGGCGGTCGACACAGTTCGATGCTTGTGAAATCGGTGTAACTTGGCACGCACATTCACGGATTCGCGTACCGTGTTGATATAATCGTAGAAATAACCTGACATTAGGGACGTCCATATAGATCAGGATTTATTCGTTTTGCTATTGATTTCCGTATTGAGTTACACAAGATATGTCTGCAGCTGCTCTATACGGTACGAGTTATCTATATGGGCTAACTCCGTGCTGCGTGAAGGTCCGAGTTCGATAATGGGTGCGGACGTTTAAAGCCAGCAGGCGGGGCCTCAATTACTTGCCACGTGCTGGGCGGCCTCGGTCATCGATGACCGCAGATAATGCTGCCCGAGTGGACAGCTTCATCAAAGAAAACCGAATCATCGTTTTGATGAGGATAGCTAAGCATCTAGGTCTCCCCACGGAAATGCTCCTCGCAGTATCACCGACGACCTTGCGATGACGAAGGTCGATGCAAGGTAGCGCTGGACGATGCGAAGGAGGACGCACCATCTGTTGTATGCCGGTCACTTCTGAAACGTCACCTAGCCTTTTTCCTGGGGCCACCTCACAATGGATGAATCGTACGTCGCATTATCGGTATCATCCAGAGGTAAAGAACAGTCCAAGCAGTGGAAACATATGATTCGCCGCCACAAAAGAAGTTCCTGACGAAGCAAGTTTACGAAGATTTTCACGCACTCGCGTGGGAGAAGCCACGGCCGATCGCGGAGGTGGCCTCTGACCTGATGAACGGGCCCCGGCGCCTGAGCGGCCGCGGCCGGCTGACGCGGCACCGCTGGATGTGTGTGAAGGACTTGGCACGGCTCTGTACATATAAAGGCGGTCGACACAGCTCGATGCTTGTGAAGTCGGTACAACTTGGCACGCATATTCACGCATTTAGTCTCAGGTCCTCCGCTTTTTGTTGGGATAAGGAGGGCGTCATCCTGGCTCAGTGACTCGCGAAGGACTTCACCACCACTGGACAACATTACAGGGATCTGATCCAGAGGAAGCTGCTGCAGTTGTATTCAGTAGAAGGGGCCCAGACAAGCCGGCAATAGCTTCTGCTTCACAAGGGCGACGCTCCACTAGCCCGCAAACCTCTTATCGTGATGAACTTCCTGTCCGAGGATCATATAGGATCTACCCAGCGCTGACATTCCTCTTTGGAGCGGCAGACTATTATTTGGGGGGGGGGGGGGGAGGGAGGCTGTTGGCGTTTCTGTGGTTGGAGAACTGCCACCGCGGACGTCGCTGCCCGTCCAAGAAAGCGTTTAAAACAGTTCCTGTTCTGTGGGGAGACGCGCTCCTGAAGGAACAGTGCCTACAAGGCCATCGGAGCTGGGTGAAGAAGTGGGAATGATGTCTGGAGATGAGAGAATGCAGTGTTGAGAAGTGAGGGAATTCTCAGCGCTCTGCATTAAGACCGATTTTTGACAACCAAATAGCTGATAATTCTAGCCTTCCTCTCGTAAATGAGGCAAGCCAGTGAACACTAGTTCGTATCAAGAATGCATGCTCCAATAACAAGAGTGCAAAAATTCTGGTAGATCAACTAGTCAGCTACCCCCACAAAAGTGTGAAGGACGTGACTACGCTTTACCACTCGCGCGCACGCAATACTAGTGTAGGTTCTTGGTAACCAATGCATCGCGCGGGATGCGTTCTCTTTCTCCTAGAAGACGGACGTGGGACAGCCCGATGACTCACGCTGTAATTTTGAAGTCGGCGGGTGCGTCAGGGCCGTTATCACCACAGGAAGAGGAGGTCGGCTCTGAACACCCGCCAGCAGCCGGCGTGTCGTCAGGGTGTAAGTCCGCGCGCCTGACGGTCCGGACCTCCGACGGGTGCGCAGACAAGGCAGGGTCCAAACAAAAATCTGACGTCATCACTGAGGTTTCGTGAGTTTGACGTCTTCAAGCCTTTTTTGCTTGTGGGACGTTCCGTAAAATTATATGTACGATCGCGAAAACGATAGTTTGCGACAGGCCAAATTCGTCAGTACTAAGTCAGTTGCCAGGTCTTGAAACTAGTACTTCATCTCATCTTTAGACCACACCAAAACCATATCGTTATTTTTTACGACGTAACTTGCTTATGTTAGGAGTAGATGGATGACAGGAAACACCGCAGGTGTCTTAAAAAAAACTGTAAAATTGATGAACATCACTGTAGAATCAGTTGATTATCGTCCTGATAAATCGGTGGTAAAAAGACAGCATCCAACGGGAGCCAATGACCTTCTCTGATATTTCAGAGATCCTTAGCTCTTTTCACCCACATCTAGGCCCGTTCGTGTGCAGAAGAAAAAGCCGTTCTCTCAGAACCTGCAGCGTTTTCCCTGTAACGTCAGTGCTATCTGTGGCAAGGCAGTTTTGCGGCCGTTTTCAATGGGCTCGGACTTGTGGCTCAACTTGAACCACACATTAACCCACATACCATGAGTAATTTGTAAATAAACCGAGGGTAAGGCAGAGCATTGCCGCACATTTGAGGGGCCTACAACAATTACGCGAACGGGGATGAGAAATACGCTTCAAAGTATGGCAAAATGAACGCGTAAGAATGCGACAGCATAACATCTGTCTATGTAATGCCATATTGGTAGGTGTAGGGTAGCTGGCGTGCATCAAAGCTCACGGCCATGACTGAGAAACTTAGGTGGCTCAACTTTCAATTCTGAATTAGGATATTGGACAAGTTATGTTACTTCTTTATGCTTTTGTAGTGCGCGGGCAATGCACGGCATTGAATTAGCTCCCGCCCACTGTGACGTTTGTCATAGGTAACCTTGATCACCAAACATCATTAATACGGCATGCGTATAGTAATATTCCATGAGTTGCCGGTGTTGTGTCTGATGACTTCGGGCCGGTAAACCACGCACCATTGCTGACGAAGGCTGACCCTTAGTAGCCTTGTCTGAAATATCCGCTGAGCCGGCCTAAAGCATCATTGCCCACTGCAAAAACACGCACGGAACCGCACATACGGCCCGCCGCTCGGAAATGGGACATGCTCGCAAAAGAGAGCATTGCCCCTGGCGTGACCGAAGCCGCCAAGAACATCATGCGTGGATGTGGAGCACATTCCGGGAGCTACCGACAGCACCTTACACCTACAAAAGTGTGGTGGGATCAAAATGTGACTAGTGCGTCCATTCTTCAAATGGCGTTATATGTCCCAAATGGCCATTGTCCGAAATATTGGAATGAAGCGGAGGGCTATGTTGAGTACGATCTAAGCCAGCAACAGCCATAGATCAACTTAAGGATGGCGTTCAAAGGCTACCAAATCCAGCTGGCTATCTTCATATCTGTTTTGACTTTGAGGCACGATGCTTAACATATAGACGAAAAGAATGATGGGTGGAAATCTGAACGACATCAGGTCATACGTCCCTGCACTGCACCTGACCTCCCATTACCTGCAAATATTGCGTTATGAATGTAAGCGTGACGTACAAGAAATGTAAATAACTTTATGACGTATTGGAAATAATCGGCTGCAAATCACTAACCAGCGTGCGAGGTTCACAAATGAGCCGACACACTTTATACCGGCGTTTTTGTGGCTGTTTTTCGGACGATAAAATAGCCAGACGGCCGGTAACGAGCGAGGACCTGTTTTGGTCGAGATGTAGCGAGGGGCGGTTGTCATGACCGGAGCGCTCCGTCTGCCCACGGCTTCCGTGCATCACACTGATGCCATGTCAATGGCATGTCATTGTCCCCCCGCCGCAGGCCTCGGCGCCGCGTAGTCGGCGCGACCCCGCTTGAGCTTAATGTTTCACAACTCAGCGCTCAGCTTTGCTCGCCATGCACCGCTACAAACGCTTCTCCGCCGAGAGCTGACACCGTTTGCACTGCAGCTCGGGTCCGAGATAACACTGGGCGACAACATTGTGTCTAACCAGGGGCGGGCTGGTCAGAGCACCACACATGTCACGGGCGCGGCCAAGACGACACCAAGGTGCGTGGGGGGGGGGGGGGCGGGAGATCGGGGACGGAGGACGATACAAGTCCCTGAACTTGAAAGAATTCACCATCACGTCGACGGTGGTTGCGTGGAAAGGAGCACTCTAAAATTCTCGACGCATTCCCCCCCCCCCCTCCCCCTGCCGCCCACCAGCACCACCAGTCACCTTCTTCTGACCGGTGGGTGAGATTCTGGCCCGCCCGTCGGATGACGCGTGCCCTGAAAAAAATTGTCTCGGTCCCACAAAAAGCGCAGTTTCATGCACATTCATTTCCCCAGTAAAGCCTTTGACCTGCAGTCGCACCGTACGACCTTGTGCCCCGCCGAGCCAAGGGCGTCCGTGCTCGTCACGATGAGGCGGCTGGTGGCGACTGCTCACCTCGCCAGAGGCCAGGCCGGCCTCCACTCTCTGCAGGCGCCGCTGGAGGGTTAGCACCTGACTGCTCACCTCGCCGGAAGCCAGGCCGGCCTCCACTCTCTCCAGGCGCCGCTGGAGGGTCAGCACCTGGCTGCGCAGCACCGCGCTCTGCTGCATGTGGTTCACCTCCAGCAGTGCCAACCCCAGGCAGAGCACCATGCTCGTCAGCGAGAGCACGCCGGCCATGCCGGCACCGGGGCCGGCCCAACCACGCGGCCGGTCTGCTCGCTGCTCCTCCTTCTCCATGCTGAGGGCGACTGGGGCGTGAGGCGGCGGCGGCGGCGGCACGCCGTGTCACCGGCCGACAAGGGACTGGCCCGCCCGGCCCGGCCCGGCGCGGCCGGGCCGGGCCCGTCCGGCCGACGCCCGTGACGCAGCGGGCGTCGGCTGACCGGCGGCGGCCGATTCGCGGGCGGCGCGCGGGCCCGCCGCCCCGGCAGGTGACCTCCCGGCGGGGGTGGTCCTCAGACAAGGGGAGCGATCGGCGCGGACGGGATTGATCGCCGGCCGGCCCGCCGGTCGTGGCGAGGAGGCTCATAACAGCCCGGGGCGTCGGTGATTGTTACCAGAAACATGCGACCTTCAAGCAGCTCCGTACCAGCCCGCGATTACTAAAACCGGATGATTTGCCAGCCGGCATAAAAGCCGGGACGGTACCTACCCCCCCCCCCCCCCCCAGTACGCCCCCGGAGCTTCAGGCGGAGGGGCTCACGCTCCTGACCTGGGCCTGAGCCGCTGCAAGACATCACACACGCTGACAGCTGTGCCGGAACTCGCGGAGAAATCGCAGCCGATAAGCGCACACACAGAACGTACACAGAACGAGCAGCAGCACAGACCACGTGACGGGTCTGCGGAAACGGAGAGCAGCTGACGCCCCCCAGCCTCCGGGCCGCCCTGCGATGGGGCTGTGACGTCACTCGCCAGGAGTGGGGCCGACGACCGGGCGACCCCGGCGCCATCCATCCCGCGTGACGGAAAATCCACGGACTGCTCTCAACCAGCGGTTTAGGGGCATGTCAAGTGTGGGGGAATGAAAGCCTTTCAAAGTGAATGGCTCACCGAATTTTTTCCGGCTACCTATTTGAACGTGCAAAAATGATGCTATCAAGCTGTCTGATGCTATCAAGCCGCTTTTCACCGTCTATCAAACTGCAAACATCAAAAGCACGGCCACTTCTGCGCTTTGTCATCTTTGTCTTCTGATAGCATTGCTGGCTTAAACGATGGCATAGCATTTATATGCGTTGATCTTTGTGCCGCGTTTTCGGTACACGCATTTCTTTGCAAACGCCACTTTTGTGTCTCGTTTGATCGCCTGCTCGATTTTTCGTATGACATTTCCTTGAAGTGCATTTTTCGTAGACGGTTTTCTCCACAGCACATGCGTCCCGTGCGCAGTCCTGTGAACTACGTGATATAAAGAGCAAAATCCGTGATGGACGTCGAAGGACACGTTACATGTTACTGAAAGAAAGCTGCCACAGTAGCCTCTCGTATGGACGGCTAATTCCCCGGCAGGGTTACCTTGGCCCGCAATATGTCCGACCGCAGCAAATCTGACCGGGCCACGTGCCACCAGGAGCATAAACGGGATAGACTGCTGCCTCAACTGTCAAAAGTGTATCCCAGTGGTGATCTGTGTTCCGGCCAGACCCGACAGCCGTACTGTAAACTGCTGAGACGCTCAGGGTGCTGGGCAAGTCTGAGGTCCCCACGAGGAATGCGCATGAAACCTCTGATACGTGCCTCAGTCAGGGCCGATCGAGGACTCTTGCGGCTTAGTCAATGAGGAGGTTAGGAGTGATCTCGTAGATTTTTTATCACTTTGACCTTAAGGTCAAACAAGGTCAATTAACTAAAATTAATACCATTGGCCCTTTGCTGGAAACAGGTATCTGGGTTCGTGGTGGTTGCACGAGGAGGTTTAGGGGACACTAATCTCTTTGGACACTAATCTGGAGTTTGGCCTTGTTAAACGTTATATGACAGCACATTCACAACCTAGAAACATCAAATGTTGAAATATTTGAGTTCGCATACAGACTAATTCCCCCTGTGAATTTATTACTTCTAGCTCTCTTGATTTCTAAGATCTCATGGAGTTAAGTCGACTACCGAGTCAGACGTGTTTAACCGGTCATCCGGACGTGGTCCAGTGGTCCAAATGACTGTCAAAAAGGCATGTATGGGGGTGCTATTCAGTGTTAACCCCCCAGTATCCAGGTCCGTCTGTGCACGCCAAATTCCTGCCTGAATTGGCGGAAGTTTAGGTGTGCGAGCAGCGCCAGTTCGAGGTCCCTCTCACTATTACGGTCTTGACCTCCAATCGACTCATGTTTACCACACTATACCTTGTGAGCGGGCACGCGCCAGCGATACTAAACGGCCTCAGTCTCCAGATCAGATGTCCATGTCAGCTGCCCCAACTACCAGTCTCTGTGGGTCGGCGAGGCGCTACCCGTCGGCAGCATTCTGGCGGTCGCCGGTTGGGAAGTGCGTCGTAACGCTGAACCACTGTCTATCGTGATCGGGGTGGTGGGTCAGATAGCCTGACGGCATGATGCAGTCTTCTGTGCCCGGTTGCAAGAGGCTAACTCACATCGTTCTCATCTAATCGCCCCGTGACGAAATGTGGGCCTCATGTTGCTTTGCTTCGCAGAATCGTGCTTCTTGTGGGTTGCTTCAAAACATAAATATTGCGCAAAGCTGACCGTTTGCGACGTCCATTGCTATATGATGCTGGCTGATGAACTCAGGCGTGGAAGCAGTAGCCGGTTAGGCCATGTCCTGTCGTGGCCCTTTTCGTAAAAAAATTCCGCATAAAAATTGTGGTTTTTCTTTTAAGAACGAGCACAAAACAAACTCCGTTGCAAGCAAATGAGCAAAACATAAAAACGAAGAGAGTGTGATCATTTACATTGCATCTTTTCGCGCATGCATTTCTTTGCATTATACTTGTTTTCGTATACGTATTTCCTCACATACGCAGCCATTCGCGTCGCACCTCTTCAAACACTCATAAATGCCATTCACATTTCTTCGTTTAAATATTTTTTTAAAAAATTCTCGGCATGCCCAATCATTCGTGTACGGATTATCCGTATCGCGTCTTTTTTCACGTCTGCTTCTCTTGATCGCAATAGTTCATTTCACAAGTCTGGCTGCAGAGGGTCAAATGCACTTAATAACATAAGTGGTAAGTTCCTTGAAATATGTAAGGACCCCAACATTCCCATATCCAACGCAATGCATATCCTACCCAAGATTGTAAAATTATCGGGCACATCTGGGGTGTCTCATGCGTGAAAATGTTCTCGTGTAGGAGGGGGGTCAAATTAGGCAGTGCGTTTTTGTCTAAGCGAGAAAAATTATTGCCAGACCTTCCCTTACCCCTGTACGAGAGCACTCACGAACATGTGATATCCGAGTTTTCTCCATACATGTAATATGTTAAGTGGGGAATATGCCGCGATGGATTTGGGAATACTGGAGTCACCACGTACTTTAAGAAAAAGACCGCCTCTAAGTAACAAGACTTTGTCATACACATAGACATCTAGTGCTACAAGTTAATAATCTAATGATATATAATCCAGAGGTGACGTGGTATTAGATATCTGTGATCCTACCCATTGGATATTGTGATAAAGTGATGTCGATATTCATATCTGGGATGGGTTGCTCGAAATTACAATGCTTTCTTGGCACATTGGATTTGTTTGCGACATGTGTCTAAAACATTCCTGGTGCCCATGTTTTGTGCCTGATATGCAGCCGCTGTGCATTGAAACGCGTTGCAAAGTAATGTAAGGTGCACAAACACACGCTCATACATATATGTATATACACACACACACACACACACACACACACACACACACACACACACACACACACACACACACACACACACACACACGTATATAATATATCATAAGTTACAAAGCTCATCGTTCTGTGCGACACTATTTCTATTGTGCACTATTGACATGGTATTCCTTTCAGGAGACCAATAAATCTGAACCCAGGACACGTCTCTCACCACCGCGGAGCTAACAAACGAAGCAGTCACGTTTACTGAATAACGTTTATGATATGCAAATGCAATCCGGCGTAAATATTAAGATGCACATGGGACTTTTGCACAGAACGTTGTGTGCCAGGGCTCGAACGACAGGGAGATGGAAGCAGTTTTTAAACACCTGAAGACACATACCTGTAAATGTTCTATTTTAATCATGCTGATTGGAGAGTGGCCGGGCTTCCTATTATTGCTGGAAAAAGACTTGAGTCATTTCCGTGAGCATTTTGCTATGACAATTATTCATGCATCAATCGGTGCACAGAATCATATGACCGCTTACATTAGGGAGTTTTGTAACGCCACTGTTGAGTGCGAGAGAACTCATTGGAGTGAGCCGGAGTAAAATGCACGGATCCAGTCTGAGCTAAGAATTTGAACATGCATGCCAATAAGCCCCTAACGCTTACAAGCATCTATCAGCTGCCTGTGTTACTGTCAGAACGATGATTGTGTGTCTATGTTGACCACTTACAATTACCGTTATCGAGTAGATGGATATGCGCTGAAAGTTGGCCCACTATGCTTCAGCCTAATCTCCTTTTCTTTGTTGTTGCATATTTTTCCGTGATGGCATCTCCCTTCCTTGTCTTTAAATTTCGATTGCGGCGCTCGTCCTCAGTTATTCGGTTCTCAGCTTCATGACAGTCATATCTGATGGCTCCCCAAATGTCTGCGTTATTTATGCCTAAACGCCAGCGGTGTCAATTTGTGTAAATTATGGGGGAATGAACCGAATTCCCGACAACGTACGCCCCCCCCAAAAAAAATTTCTCACCAAATTTACCCCACTTTATTTCGATTAAATGCAATATATGTTTTTAATCTTTGTGTAATTTGTAAACGCCTTTAACGTAGGCAGTATAGAAGCCACGCAGGGTTGGATCCAGGGAGCGGGCACTGGAAGCACGCGCATCTCCTGATCGGCACGTGAAGACGCGCCTTTAGAGGCCACTTGGGGCGCCGATGGAGCTCTTATATGGCGGTCATGGGAGGTGGCGCGTATTTTGGTCGCCGAGGACGGGGGCGGGGTTAGCCACGAAAAACTTATACCATTCCCATATTCAAGAGCTTTTCACTTTAACCTCACAAACCATTGCGTGTCTTATAGCGCTAGGTATGTGAATTTCATTGCATCGTTTATTCGCTCAGCTGTTTCGATTTGTATCTGGTGGTGAGAGCAACCATGACTTTTGTCATGAGAGTCGTACGAGACGCCACTACGCAGAAAGATCTAAGAAGATAGCCTTTGTGTTGTGAGTCTTTTGCCCACGTTTCATCTTTTTCATTTTCTGCCCACGTTCTTTGTAGCATTCCAACCAAAAACATTGGGAGGATAAAGTCAACATTGGGAGGGGGGAGGGGCAACTTAACATGGGGGTGGGGAGGGCAGGACCCTCAAAAAAGAATACGAAACCGACACCCGTGCTAAACGCGGCTCATGATGAAAGCATGCAATCAGCAGGAGAATCCGACTATTAGCCAGTTAGTTTTTTGTCAGTGCGTCGCTTGGTGCTGCATCGCCGCAGACACGAAAGGTTAATGACCAGACTCGACTTAACCATGGGCACAAAACAGCCGATGAGGTGGGGTGTTCGCGTGTTTCTGTGGCGTCATACATGTCTGAGTGACCTTCCCGTAGGCAGTGCGACGTAGGCTGCACATGTTGAAGGATGTCAAGCACGGAAACAAGATAATGTGAAGGCTTAGAAAGGGCATGGTCGTGAACTGCAGGAAATAATCATCAAAATGGCTATCTCAGTTCAAAAACCCCATAAACATGTGTACCAGTCATTTTAATGCAGTCATTTGCCTCAAATGCTCTCAAGACCTTTGCTGCTGCAAATAGGCTGCAAGTCTATTTGTATCTCAAACCACAGAATCATCGCGGGCAAATAACCGTGAATAATCAGGCTTTAAACGGGATATTATCCGCTTCCGCGAGTCATTAAGAGGCAAACGCGAAAGGAAAAGTTCGGGAAGTTGTAGCCCGTTGTATTTCACCACGACGGCATCCAAGGTGTTGGTTCGGAAAGTCGGCCCAGGTAATGGTAGCCCGAGCTTCAGCTCCAGCTAGAACTTCGGTTCGGTTGCCACGCTGAACATTGATCTTCAAGCCTTTCGACCTCGACATGCAGTCCAAGCCCAACCGAGCATGGGCTGCGAGTACCTCATGATACCCAATCGCGCGCCTCTGCGTATCATGCCTTTCCCGCCCTATACCTGCGAATCGACAATACCAACAACAGAGCTGCACATCCGCCGATCAAACGCGACGCCATATGTAGTGGACCTGTAGAGCACCGCCTTAGCCCTGGGCGCAGGTGCATGTTTCCATTTGCGGCTACCATCCGTTCGCTCGTCATGCACCTTTACGTCTCCAGATTTACAAGCCTTTGCAGTTTGCATCGCTGATAACCTTTCATTACAGCAAAAATGTAGCGCAGGCACACGCCTTCTCAGAAACCCCGCGCTCCACGCCAGCAGGATCTCCATGCTGCACCGCCCCTCCTGAACTAAACGGAGCTCTGCATGCTGCCATCTGCTGGCCGCGACTGAAATTACAGCTACGGGACGCCGACGAGTGCAGCGACGCAGGACGCCGGCGGCAGGTGTAGCGATTTGGGTGTGAGTTTGAGTCGTGCGGCCGGACAGGTAGCGGGCGGTCGCGCGCCGGCAGCAGAGAACGAACACGCCAGCAGCAGCACATGCGAGGGTAAAGGTTTGAGCAGAGCATACAGGTGAGTATGGGAGCGGCCGTGGACCTTTGAGCGGCGGCGGGGCGGAGCCGGGGCGGAGCGCCGGGCTGTTGGGAAGCGGTGTTTGTGCGTGGTAGCATAGCTGTAGTTTCTTTAGCTGGCACGACTCGTCATGCATTCCGGAGTTTTGGAGTAAGGTATGTTCCCGTGCCATTTTCCTCGCTTTTTGGTGTTTGATTGGCGTGAGGTTTACGTCGGAGGTTTGCGTCGGCGCGTCGGATGCTTCGCAGTTCATATGTTTCATATGAACTAGGCACTTCATACGAGCGACCGGAAATGAACAATGCACAGCGAACGTGGAGCACACCATGGGAAGGCAGAACACTCGGAGATTCCAGATGTGCTTTTTGTCTGAAAATAACTAGTTTTTTAGGGGGGTGGGGTAGTTTTGTCTGGCTGGTTCAAATAACTAGTCCTCGGCTGAAAGGGCGTTACACTCCCCACCGTTTTCTTGCATTACTGCCTAAGCAGCAAGGGATGGCGTTCGTGGCCGGAAAATGACACGTGATTGCTTCAGTGTGTACAACTGAGCGATGGCTCCCAATGGGATGGCCGTCATCTGTAGACTGGACACCCCGTCGGCACTAAATTGGTCTCCCGGGCCGAAGGGTGGCATTTGTTTGAGTGGCTACTGAATCGCCGGCCGATCACGGACGAGTACGGCCTGTCGCACAAGCTCAGCCTCGCAGATTTTAGGCTGCCAAGCGTTGATAAATCCATATTGTGTGGAAAACGTGCCTGATCCTCATGTTCCTTATCTTAGGTCGTCGCGTGCAGCCTCTATGTCGTCTCAAATCCAGTGACTCATGTGTTCGGTGCAGTAACCATTGACCTTTGTATGTAATGTATGTATGTATGTACGTATGTATGTAATCATGTATGGCTCCCACGTCGGGTCACATTTAACTATGTCATTCTTGATATCAGTGTGCATCCTGGGGTTATTGAACGTCAACTGATTCCGATCCGGGGATTCGCATATTCCAAGCTCCCAGATCCCGACTAAAAAAGAACGCCAGTCAGTGGTACTCAGGTTAAAAACACATTTTTTGGGATGGACATTTCCGACGTTGGGCAAGCAAGGTGAGGCCAGTTGCGTGCCACTTTTTGAATATTATTGTTGCGCTGCTCTGGCTCACATATTCTGTGGAGGTCAGCGGCTAGACATGTGTCTGGTACAGCGGCCTATTTATTACAAATGGGCGTGACAAATAAGTTGTACTTCACACCTGCACGCTGGCCTCAAAGGACGGAAACGGTGTGACCTTGTGCAGCATGACCGAACCTGACTGGCAAACAGCCGCGCCAGACGATTTACGTTGAAACATCCGAGCCATATCGCAATTGCAAATCGCTCTGTCCAGGCCAAAACAACGGTGCAAGCCGTCACTAATATGCCCTTGCCATGTGTCATGCCCCTTGCCCACTAGTAAGATGAGGAGTATTTTCTTCGAGAACTTGCTGGATTGATCACCAGAAAGTTCAGACGCTTGCGCGAACCTTTACTTCCGGAAAGGTTCGGGAGCCATTTCTGAGGCTCAGAGGAAGCTACTGCTATGCTACCCCTCCCCCATCCCCCAGGTGTTCGCAGGCTAAGACATGCAGAGTGGGTATTGTGCGAAAAGTAAAAAAGATCATTGTTTTATCGTATGCAAACGTTTACAGCCAGTCCCGGCGCGGAGAGTCGCCATCATGTCCTCCAGCGGCATCTACACGGACATCGAATTCCCCGAACAGGGCTGGGAACAAAACATCCGGTCAACATACGGCAGAAATTTTATCTTCTTGGGAGTCGCCATTGTTCTGCTTGTCGTCTTCATCATTCTCATCATGGTGCTCATCAAATGCTTCGCAAATCTTTTCAGGTAGGCTCGCCAGGGCTCTGCACTCTGCAAGCTAACATGACGACAATTGATCAGTCTTTGCGGGATGAGCCGTAGTTTACCTCACAGTATCGGGCATGAGCATCATTGTGATCATCTGCTGTGATAAAAAACCTGCAATGCGTGCCAAAATCAGAGCCATGGGCTGTCCTGCTCTGCCCGACAGCGCATGCCCTGAGCGTCACGTCCGCTAAGTTGAGTTTGCTCGATCAAGCTGATGGTGCCGCGCCTCTCCCTGCAGAGTCGAGCGCGCTCCCTCCGTGCCGCCGTCCATGTCGACTAAGCGGACGAACCCGGTGAAGATGGTGTGGAGCACGCTGTGGGACCAGCCGCTGCCGCCGGGCAACTACCGCTCGCAGGTCGCCATGCATTCGATGAGCACGCGGCGGCTCACCGAGTCGGAGCACGCCTCGCTCTACATGGGCGAGCACTGAGGGCGAGCGGAGCACAGAGAGCACCGCGCAGCCCGGCCTGCGGCTGGCAGAACGTCAGGCGCCAGGGATGCGCTGGGCTCCATTTTTAGCGGAGCGCGTTTAGACATTTCGTTAAGTGACGCATTGATCAATGATCCAGACCGCCGATCGGAGTGGTAAGAGGCTGAAAGAGGCCGAGGCTGTTCAGTAGCGTGCATGTATGACTAGGTAGGTCACTGGCGCAATCTCATCTCGTATTCGACCTAGTGCCGGCTAGATGAAGTCGGCTTCCGTTGTGAGGTCTGTGCTGACGTGTGTTGGCTGACGTGTAGAAGTGTAAGGAAGATCTGAACGTGGCTCGGATTCGCAGGGTGATAGTCAGCAGCGACTTGTAAATAGACAATGGCTATGTTCAGAGGCGTGCTTTGCCCAGGATCTGCGACCGACCATTACCTTTGAAAGGCTGTTCAGTCTAGCCGTTTCCGTCCATGTATGTGTATTACCGAGTGTTATTTACCATCATGCCATAGTTGCACCTGCACTAGGAGTAAGGCGGCTTTCCAATAAAAGTGCATTGTCACTACACATTCCAGAGAAAAAAGCAGCGCCGTTCTGTTCATGAAACTATGTTTTGTGTACCGAAACTCATGCACCTTTTAAGTACGTATGCGCAGATTTTAGGCATGTATGTACCAACGTCGGCAGAAAAGTGAGGAGCATAACGCATACAACGTTCTATGCAGTCGGTAACAATATTTGGCAACCGCGGACTGCGGTTAGAGATAGCAAGTACAGCTGTATTTATATTTGGTAATGCGGGGTCTTATGATTAGCTCTGCCCATCTGCCCTCCTTTCCTCATTCACTCCTTAGGAGGACTCCCAGGCGCATGTGGTCTTATTCCAACGCTCTCCATCGTCCGTCGTCCGCCCTGTAATAACCATTGCTGGCCGAAAGCGTTCCTATCCAAATTAAACAATTCCGAACCAGATCTGCTCTTAGCTGTATGACCTTTGGCTTATTCGATTCTCATACTACACTGTGCTTCCGTTGGTCGATGGCCTGAATGCAGATGGCAATTAACATCTTCCAACGGTTTGGGAGGAACCGTGTGTTTTATCGGGTTTGTATCTGAGTGATCGGTCTGCAGAGGCCACCTCCTCTGAAGTGATGTATTTCAAAATAAAGAATGTATATTCTTCAACTGCTTACTGGTGACATTTGAGGTTTAACACAACTTTTAACTTCTCAGACCAGCGTGGCGGTCGACCTGAATATTGCAGAACGATGACAATATACCGGCTTGCAAAAGCCTGGATAAACCGATGGTTATGCTCTAACTCACGGGTTTATCCACTATTATGGACAAGCTCATCACCAACTGGAATGATCCATCCCCTTGCGGACTCTTACTAATGTGCCATTCGCATTGTGTTGGCTGTTTTCCGAGGTGTCAAACGTGCGTGTTATTGTGGAAAATACGCGCCACGCACGTTCAAGATAACGGATGCGAGTTGCCTTAACCTTAGCCTTAGACACGTCTGTTGGTGTATGCTTTCCTACCTCGTTTCAGCAAGCGATAAGCGAAAACATACAGAATGCGTCTCACGAGTTGCTTGTAAGGTCTGGTGTGTGGTAAACATAAAATATTACAATAATAATATATTGTGTGGTTAACATATAAGCAGGCTCTGCACAGTGTGGGAAGTAAAAAAATTACTGCAGGTTCCTGAGCGCGTGACCAAGATTTAAAGACATCTTTTGAATCAACGTACAATGACCTGGAGTTCCTGGTGCTCCAGCTGTCTCACCTGTCTTATCTGTGCGAGTCTGGGTTTGAACAGGGTCCGTATCTGTACATTCTAGCCATCTAACGGGACATAATTTAAGCTTTTGAAGGCTGGCAATTTCCTCCACCATCTAATACTACATTAGAAACATACCAGATCGTTCAGGCACCAACAATGAAGAAAACGAAGAAAACGTTTGCATTCGGTCTTCTCTTGGCTCTTACAGTGACCCAAGGTGAGTTCGTGCGTGCGTTTAGAGGCTTCGAAAGATATTTGTCGTTTGAACTTAAACTGGATTTCAGCTGTAATATAACGACGCGGACATTTTGATTGCAAGGGTTTTGCAGTCTTTCAAGGGTTCTGGAGCTTTGAAATTGACAACACCGGGGCCTATAACGCACAGGTGAAGTGTCAAACATGTAGCGAGATCACCGTCGCAACGTTGTGCATGCTGCCTGCAACCAGTCAACTGATCATGTGCTTGAAAAGGGTCTCTTCAGAGTCCCATGTTTTTATGATTTTGGGAACCACATCAGCCATTGGCCAGATAGAATCTGGCATATCATATCGTGTCACGTATCATATCACATTATATCATATCATAATAGCATATCGCACGGCCTAAAAGCGGAAAGCAGCAAAGGAGAAATGTGGTTTAACTGCACCAGCTATTCTCTCGTCAAAACCAAGGCTTAATTCCGGAACATGTGACGTACTACGAATCAAGATTGTATGGATGGGTTCGATCAGTTAATTTAAGCTACTCCCCTTACCATGAGAAGCAATCATGCCATTATCATGAATGAAAGGGCATTAGATAGTCCTTGGGAAACTGCACCATGCATTGTGACATAGGTTCTGGCAACTGCCCGCTGGTACCTAAATGTGGACTTAACGTGCCAAAAAGTGACTGCTATCCCTAACAAACAAGCATAGAGTAATTTGTGCGCACGCCCGGTGTGCTATATCTCAACTTAAACGTGACATGGAAATGTCGCAAATTTGTGCGGAACTGTCAAGTATTTCTCCGCGTGAGCTTCGAAACACGTTATGCAATGTTAAGCAGCGTCCATTAACGACAGTTTAATTCACCCTTTTACCTAGGCCGATGCTTTTTGAACTGAAACTGTGTTCTTTAGAATACATACTCATGCAGTTTGGTAAAACGGAACAAATCGACACCACAGCTAACATTACCCTATGGTGATAATAGAGCTTTACGAAATTGGTAGCAGTAATCTCCCAATCACCCCAACCATGCGGTGGCCGTGGGAAGCTGAAGCGATGTCGACTTAGAGCTCTTGAATCATCCATCAAGAACGTATGATCATTTCATTTTTCATAGCTCGAAGACGCTCCGATCCCAACTGCTGACAATCTCAGCATAGTTTTCAGAATTTTTAGGAGGTTTCGTCAATATGAAATAATCGTCACCAGTTGGCACCTATCACAGGCGTTTCCAGGCAATCCAAGATAAAACATGTTTGGATCACAAAACCACACATTTGCATGCAACTGAATCGACGTGGCACAGACGACCGTATTAGTGCAAAATGCCCCAATCTATTACGACGTATGTTGGCATCAACACACATACGACGGAACGTAAGGTAAGACCCGTGGAAGCGTCACATATAGCACCTCTCTCACAGCGGTGACGCGAAGAGATGGTATATGGCGGTGGCAGCTGATGGCCAGCGCGAATGGGACCGGCCAGCGACGAGCAATTAACAACTTGAAGTTATTCAAAATGCTCACAAGGAAATGCTCCCAATTGCTCCCGATAGAAATGGATCCCTCCTCTGACCCATTCCGTCAAGTCTCGTAGCCTGACGTGCTTTCAACCAATTGTGCCGCCCGAGGCATCCACCATTATAATACGCGTTTGCGGATGGTGAAGAGTCATTCCTTGCAAGCAACCCATGGGATCGACCACTTTCATTCAAAGATGCGCAAAAACGCGCACACGCGCGGGAACCGGGGGTTCGGGGGCTGAGCCACCACAACTTTCTGACAGTTCCACACTGACCCCATGCTCATTGATTACAAAGATATAACGAGAAGTGGCTGCCCCCCCCCCCCCCCCCTCCACAACTTAATAGAGCGTCCGAAGCCTCTGGGAAATGAGTTGACGAGATGAGACTGCAAGCAAGCGTTTTGTATCGTTCATTGACCCGGGCAGTACCACTGCGCGTTACAACGCAGTTGTGTCGATGATCAGGCTGTACCAAGTGCTGATTCTGTTGGTCGCTTTTCGTAGTTTTCATTTTGCATGGAAATTAGGTTTGCGTTACCTCACAAATTTACATTTCACCAAAGTTACTGGTGAGTGCGAAAGCTGTCATTTGAAAAGGGAGCTGCCAAGATTGTGCGCGAATGATGCATGGCAATATGCGCCCAATATTTGTTTCCGTGTGGAAATCTTGGTGACGACAGACGAAATCCCGCATAAACCGTTCGTCACGTATTTTGTCGACTAAAAAGGCAAATATCTGCTAGACCAATTTTGAATGTTGCATTTGAATTGACATCTACGATATGTTTTGCGCCAAAAGATCTGAAGCGATTTACGCTGTCCCGCCCCTTCTGAATGGGAAGAATCCGCACGAAATTCCGATCTCATTTCGTTGAAAAAGGGAAGAATTGCCAATGATTTCAGTTCAGCTATTTGGGTGTGATCATACAAATATTTTGGGCCAAGGGTTAGAAGAAAAGACATCGAAGCAATTCAAATTCAGAGAATGGGACGCTACTGGAGCCCATTACGCCCAAAAGCGCATATAAAACTGAATAAGTATTTAGCTTAGTATTTATTATCATGGCTAGAGTGCCGGAAGACGGAACAGGCCACTCTAGCACTCAAGTTGTAAAGAGATGGCACTATTGCCGTTCCGAGCCTGGCGGCACAGCGGTAGCTGATAGCTCGCGCTGCCCATATCGCACAGACACCAGCACTCTTCAGGCGGCGGATGAGAGTGCCTGGCAAGTGTGAGTGTTAGCGTACGTGCGCGCGCGCTCACGTCATGACCATAGGTAGAAGTTACGAACAAACGCAACAGAGGACCTGCACGTTTTACACATACATGCAGTGGCCATCACACCTGTGCAGCAACCTACGACGCTGGCAGTACGCGGGAACACGTGTCGAAGTTTGCTCTATATTCTATTGAGCGTGGCCTTCTCCATATTCCCAACAACTCCTTTTCTGGGAGGGAAGCTCCACCTCACGGGAAAGTGCCAATTACGCTCCTTTAAGACGGTCACACTGGTCGCCACTATTTACCTCATCTTTCCTTCCAGTTGTCATTATGGCTGTTGGGAACGTCATGCCAGGTCAGGTGCCCTCTTAAGATTAAAGTTCCTCCTATCGGTGTGCACAACATGTTGCCTATATGCCATCGTTCGCGGCTGTCAGGCCACGCCATTCTGAATAAAACCGACTTTTTGCGACTCGGGCAAGTTCGATTAGTGACACAAGAGAGCATTGTCGTTGATGATATCAGACATTTTCATTTCTAGTTATGCAGTAGATTCCAACTCACTCTATGCTTCTCACATAATCGCAGCTTTACATCGGCTTATAATTCGCATAGAAATGCAAGTGCATTGCAGGAGCAATTGGCAAAAGCAACTATAAACTGCTGTCCGTTGCTTCTTCTGAAGTATTGCTGAACCGATGAAAACAATCTTAGAATCCCCGGACATATTTTAAGTAACCTAAAGCCGGGAGAGATCAGCCTTTGGAGGCATGGTAGGTCAGCCCTGTCGGCGAAGCCCCCGACCGTTTTTGGAGTGTGACCCCCGGGGCGAGTGACAAGCTTGATAGATTTTTCGCAATGTCACCCGGTTTTGTATTTAAAAAATATTGTCATCGACCGAATCCACATTTCCGAGCCATCCCTCTCCGTCTTATTTAAGTACAAGCATCACTGTGATTTAAGGCGATGACAAGTTGTGTGCTAAAAAAATGGTTCATTAAGCTCCATCCAGTTGCTCCACGTTCCATACTCCATGCTCCACTCCTCCCCAAGCTCTACGTTCACTTCTTGTTGCTCGTTTTCACTGCATTTTGCCCATAGACGAAATTTTGGAAATGCTTTGCTACAGCGGGCCTCGTGCATTAAAACGAGCTCAGGGCGCCTGATAAAGACAGCTTCATACAAGACTTACCGAAACGCTCACGCTGCCAGAGACCGGCCACTGCTGCCTAACACGTTTGCGGGCAGGGTACAGCGGCCGAATGATCCTTGTTACCGAGAAACCTAACTAATTAAGCAGGCTTGTCTTCGACTCTGTGCGCGTTGGAGTTGACGCTCCCAGCCGCCATCTTTTTTGTGGGACCGATTTCCCCAAAAATCTCTGAATGGGAGTCGGAGTTGAATCAGTTGATTGTCTGCAGTCATTCATAAGTCGACTCAACTAGAAATGCAAATAACAGCAATCATTATTGTATTGCCAGCTGTTATATGCGCAGCATATGGAACTTGTTTATTTTCACATCTAACAATAAAAAGCCGAACGCGATAGCCCATTGTGACACATATTCTAAGATGTTGCCATCACAACTGACTCAATTGGAATCGGTCTCAAAATATAATTCATTTCCTGAGTGGTAGTCCGGGTTGACAAGTCGACTCGAAATTAGGCTGCACTGCTAGGAGGCGGAGTGGGAACCGACGTACCGCACAGTCAATCGGAGTCAAAATCGACTCCGCCGCAACGGGACCTCGCACGGGTCTTTCAAGAACGTCATACAAAGCGACGGGTGATGCACAACGTAACGCCAATTTCTACCCGGCCGGCGCAGGGCTCTCTCTCTCTCTGGTGAGACACTCTGGGACGCCACCGGACGCCACAGCAGCCGCCCATCACATGCTGCCGCTTTTTCAGGAGCGGGCTTCGGCATCATGGGCGGCATCATGGCCAACCCAGCCACGATGCTGAGCGCGGCTCGCTACATGACCCAGATCGTGATGCGCAACATGGCGCAGAAGCGTACCAGCAGCGCATCGTGCGTCGATCACGTGTCGCGCTCGGCCGTCACCTTCTTCAACGAGGCGTCCGTGTCGCTGCAGCTGGGCAGGCTGCTGCAGATGACCATGCGTCGCTCGATGGGGTCCGGCCCGGCCGTCGTCCCGCTGGTCAGGTCAGTCCCTCACTCATGCTGGTGGTGAGAGGACCCCCTCTACACACTGCGGCGGCTGTGAGCAGTGATCTCAGACTGCCTGGGCAGACGAGCGGTGATCTGACTGCCTGGGCAGTCTGGGCGGGAATCCCGACGCCCCCGATCCCGAGAAGGACGGGGCAATGTGCCTGCACGGGAGGCACCGCTAAGGGCGGATTCATCGATGTTTCCGGCGATCAGCAGACCTGATGTCCCCAGACAGATCAACAATGTCCCCCGGACTGGTCAGGACTGGATGCTGACCGACTCTCTTAACTGCGTACGCTTACAATTTCTCGAAGCGTAGAAATGAAGCTCCCACCCACAGATCCAACTCCCAAACTGCCCGGCGTTTCTTCCGTGTACCTCCGGGACAACCGCGATCCACCACGCACCCGTATCCGTGAACACCGCACACAATGCGCGACCGCGCCGACAGGTTCTGTCAGCTGGCGAACGTGCGCCGCCTGCACGCCGCCAGCGTTACGTTCGTCTCGCGCATGACCTGCCTGGGCCTAGGCGCCGTGGACGACACGGACCGCCTGTTCCGCTCGCTGGTCTTCACCATCGAGCACGTCTGCAGGGACGGCGGCCACGCCACCACCCAGTTCATGACTGAAGCCAGCGGGTGCAGGTGCGTGTCCGGCCGGTCACGCCCTGGGACAGATGTCCCAGACCATTCCTTATATGCAGACGCCAGCCCCTGGTCGTTACCCGAGACGTCGCAAAAGTCGTTGGGTGTGCGCAGCTATCCACTGCACCCGACGGTTTGTCGTGTAACGGACGTGTATCTGTGACGTAGCCACACATAGGAAGTCATAGGAAACATCTTGGAAATGGCCTTTGGCGATACAAACTTGGCGTTGGTGCTGATGGTTGGGGAGAAGCCGGTAATTCCGCCGGGTCTTTGCCGTGCCCCGCCGCTGGACAAGACGACTGACACTACGGCTAATTACCGGCACAGCGCCAGGGCTGATCACCGGCACGGCGCGGCCGGCGTGAAAAAGAATCGTTCGCGTTCCGCCGTGTGCAGGCCGAGATTACCAAATGTTCACCGCCCGTGGGGTACTGCATGACTTCGCCCAGGGGAAGTCCCCGATTTTACGACGCCAGTGTCTGATGGTGCGATCTCGCTGGTGATTATGCCTACACACATGGCGCCAGTGACCAGCCGAGCCATGCTGACCACAGGGTGCTAGACGACGCGCACGAGGAGCAGATCGGCCGCGTGCAGCGCATCCGCCGAGACCGGCGCAGCGTGACGGCACGCACCCCGCTGGTGCTGTCCACCACCGAGGGGAACAGCACGCGGCTGCCGCACGCCCCGACGGCCAGCGAGCAGGCGCCGCAGCCGCCGACGGAGCGGTCGCTGCACACGACCACCGCGCCCGCACTGCACACAACCACCGCCCCCACGCTGCACACGGCCTCCGCGCCCGCGCTGCACACGACCACCGCGCCCGCACTGCACACGACCGCCGCGCCCGCGCTGCACACGACCGCCGCGCCCGCGCTGCTGCACTACCCCAGCCTGCAGGCGTGCCTGGACGACGTCAACGCCCTGCTGCCGCAAGGGGCCCGTCTCTCCCCACAGGAGGAGATGACCGACTTTCTGCTGACGCTGCCGGCGCTGCTGCCGCGCCTGCTGCAGCGGGACGGGCTGGCACAGTTCTGCCCGGCCCTGCTGAAGGGCGGCGACTGCGCTCACCTGGCGCTCAGCCGGTGCCCGTCCGGCACGCGCGACACTATGGCCAGGTTCTTCCGGAACGTGCTACGGGGCATCCTGTGCGACGGCATTCCCGACGACGAGGTGCTCAAGCAGCTGGTCTGGAGTCCCGAGGTCGAGAAGCTGTATTTCGGCCTGTAGAGTCGCGACGGAGCAGACGCCAGTTGGGTGCCGGGGATTAGCTGACCGCACGGGTCTGGCTTTTGATCCCGTTGGGTCCCAGTTCCGATGGATGTTGCGGGGGACTGAATGCTACATGTCGTTCGATTCCACTGCACCATTCCAGTGTTCCCTTGAGGTTATCACGCTGGTCAGATCTATCAGGCCGGCCAGTTACTGAGGACAGCGGCGTACTTTGATCAGGGAGGCACGTGAGGTTACGTGAGATTCTTCATTATAGCAGTGCTCCGAGTCGTTACTCATGCTTGCAATATTATTCATACCAACACCAAATCGATTTTATGCTTGAGAACTAGGTATACGGGATACTTCAAACAGCTGTCTAGTTTCCCGTGAACCATCGTGGAACACTTTCTGACACACAACGCCCTTAATCTAATGTACGGACTGGCATACTGGTACTGCGCACGTAAAGGATGGAAAACAATCTCGTTTCTGAAAAAAAGATCATAGCGATATTTCTCAAATTCCCGACTTAGAGTAATGCATACTAATAAACATATTCAAACAATGTCTTGTCGTATTTCTTAAACTCGTACTGCATCATTGCGCGTGTCACCATACTTAGCATGCGGCACCCACGAAGTCTAATCGCTGTTCAAGATCGTTCGTAGGCTACTGATGGACGACTACCCAAACCGACAAACAATGATGCACGTTTATGGTCAAGCCTATCATACCAAACCAGTCTTTCCACACTTCGCACATTGCTCTCAATCTACAAACACACGATGAAGGGATGATCAAGTGCTCCTGAGCTGACGCCTTCAGACTCCTACGAACCGCCTCCAGCACACCCAGTGCCACATCCGAGGCGGCGGCGAGCGCCTGCCAACACCGCCAACACCGGCCGCTCCAGCAGCGGCGGCGACGCCCAAGTCGGCCTTCGGCGCCGCCGGCGTCCACCGCCTACTGGGAGTCGCTGCTGGAGCTGCTGGAGCTGTCGGTGGACATGGCCTCGACGTCCGGGTTGGCGGCCGGCTTGTCCAGCGGCACGCTGGCGCCGCCCTGCACCGCCAGGTGGATCTCGCCCGACGGCTGCCACTGGAACGTGCCGCCGGCGGAGGCGGGCGGCGGCGGCGGGGGCGGCGGCGGAGGCGGCGGCGGCGGGGGCAGCTGCGGCGGCGGGGGCGGCGGTGGAGGCGGGTCCTGACCGCCGCGGCCAGCCGGCTGCTGCTCCAGACCTATGGGCTGCAGCAGCTGCTGACCGCCGATCGGCACGTCCACCAGCCGGCCCAGCAAGCCGCGACGCATCTCCATGTCTGCATGGAAGGAGAAGAGCGGGATAAGCCGAAGGACAGTCAGGCCGGACCCACTTCCCGTGCACACAAAAACAGCTCTCGTCGAAGAAGCTGATCACACGCGCTGCTGAACTCGACGCAGAAATGCGAGGTGGAGTGCGCGAGCAGCACCGGTGAAGACTATCACTGGTGCGTATCAGTGAGTTCCGCGCAGCACGACTGCAGACTGCAGGGCTGTGATCTCTCTGCCATACTCTCTCTGTCCAGTGCAGGACGCGTGCGGCGGCGCAACGACGGTGCCGCCCCTCACCTGTGGGGTACGGCCGGCGCGGATCGCCCTGCTGCCAAGACAGCGGCGCGCTGACGGCGTTGGTCGAGCTGATGCGGTGGGCGTACCGAATCAGGTCTTCGGCACTGACCGGCCGCGCCTGGGCCCACGCAATCGAGTCGATCTTCTGCTTGGCCTGGTAGATGGCGCTGGCCTGCAGGGGGTCGCTGCGGTCAGTCGTTGAGTGGCAAATGTCGTCACCGAGACCAGCCTGTGGTGTGGCCCTCAGTCATAAACAGTGGTACAGCGGCCGGAGCTCCGTGAGGGACTGACTGGAGTGCTCTTGCAAGATTCATATCATATAACACTAACCAAAAAGTCCAAAGAAAGCAAAGGCAACAGCAGAGCAGAGGCATGAGTGGGCTGCTGGGCCCCAGCTTGCAATCCCGATCTTGCGATACAGCACCCAGCACATGATCGTGCGACACAATCATCCCATTACAGTGCAGCATGAGGTGAACTGTAAGACCTCTGCAATGATGCAGCACAACATCAGGGGGCATGATCCTGCCCTCACTCACCAGCCTGATCTCAGCCTCCTTCAGGCTCTTCTGCAGGGCCCTGAGCTCGCCATCCTGCTGCTCCACCTCAGCCCGCAGGCGGTCCATCTTCACCTGGATCTCCTGCTGCTCCTCTGCCTCCTGCCAGCACCAGCTAACATGTCAGGCAAGAACTTTAGTGTGATGTCGATGTGACTGATGGACGGATGGACATGTGAGCTCTCCACCTGAGGGCTGGATCCATCGACCCCTGATAGTGGTCAATGGTAGCCCAACAGGTGGCTGTCACCCTGGACAATGGCATTCTAACAAGCATTTGCAATTTGTGATGCACCTGCCTCAAATCATGTAAAAACCTAGATTAATCAAGCATGGTGTTGATTAATTAAAAACATAAATGCTTATATCAGCACATTCAATCTTTCACCAATCAAAGAAAAATAAACCATCTTTAACTACCTGAACAAACACTTAAGAATTATTACCTTCATAGTTGCTTTGAGGTCGGCATCCTTCTTGATAAGAAGCTCTGTTAACAACTGGTGTTCAGCACTGGAGAGCTTCTGATGCTTGGGTGCAGTACAATTCTCAAACATCTCCCTGGCTCAAAGAAAAATAAAAGCAGGAATAAGACAATGCACTTTGAATGACACATTGCATATGCTTGTGAACACTCAAGGGGCAACATTATACAGGGAAGATATCACATGATTCTACCTGTTTTGAGATTGTTTACGATATGTCCTGCCTTAAACACGACGAATGGTGTACAATGATTTTTTCTAATGATAGGTAGGAAAGTACACCCTGACCATTTATACGAATATCTCAGTTCATATTCTTCTTGGAAGAGATACAAAGCATGCCACCTCTTCATTGTTCAAATTATACTAAAAATCCCTTATCTTCCTTTCATTTCATGCACTTTTTACTTGAGAAATGGGCACCACACTATATCATTTCTGCTAGTGCAGCATATTCCATTTTGCTAATAAAGGGTAACAAATCAAACAGTACAACCTAATTAAAGATGCAAATAAAGTATCAACAGTATATGAGTGGGAATGCAGGCGATATGGCTACCATGGTGGGTTATCACACATTTTATCTATTCCCACATCTGTTTTGAACTGAATTCAAGGATGACTGTGTCATGCAGAATTTGACTGAAATCAAATAAACATGACAGCACTGCCTTTCCTACACATACATACACATATAGCATATACATAGGGGTGCCCTGTATATCACTGGATATTACCTGGATATCAACTCGATGTCATCAATAAGGGCAAGTATTTTCTCCCTCGTGCTGATACCGGAGTGGGCCATCTCCACAACCTTTACCAAGACCAGTGACGTGAGCTGGATAGGCAACTTCCTTCTTAGTCAATAAACTGAAAAGATGAACGATTTCTGCACTTCTCAGTCTACAACCGAAGATTCCGTAGCGTCAACAATATCCGAATGTATCGCCCACCGGTGACCCACCAAACGCTTCTGGTCACTAACACTCCTGAATGCTCCCAATCTTACTGCGCAGCATTACGCCGCATCCCAAGCACTGAGGCAAATGCGGGCCACGGACGTGTTCAATCCCACAGCTCACACGGAGAGCTGCGGTTGTGCACGAATCAGTATCTGGTATTAATATTTCATACTGCTCACCAACCAGAGGACCAGAACGTCAAACATCACCATCACACCCCGCGAAAGGTTTGCCGTGAAACTTGCCAGGGTGTCTGAGAAACCGGTGGTACGAGGTTCCCCGGGTAGCCCAATTTTTCTGCCAGGGTGAGAGGCAAATGGCGGGGACGCGACGTAGCCTCGGCAACTGAGAGCGTCGCATACCCCAAGCGACAAAGTGACGAGCCATGCCAAAGCAGGAAGGTAGCCAAGGAGGCATCATAGTGGCCAAAGCCCCTCCCTGGAATAATACGCTCACTAGATGTTGACCGGTCTCGGTTCCCCGCTAAACATTTGGCGTAACAAAAATAACATACACCACGGCTGAAGAAACACGTTAACTGCGTGCCTGTCCAGAAGTTGCAGCAAATACCCTCGTTCCATCAAAAAGCTAACGGCAATTTAGTACTCTCCCGCTCATCAATTTTGACTCGCAAAGCCAACTTATTTATTTCCATAAGGGAGTGAGCCTTGCCCCCCCCCCCCCTCTCCGGCAACTCCCGCGATGGCCCATGGAGAAGGCATGAGAGAGAGAGAGAGAGCTGTTCGCAACCCAGTTGGCCACGCGCAGAATGGTTGGGCCGGCCGGCCGTCTTGGCAGAATTGGTTGTAACACTTGGTCGCCCCAGTTGGAATAGGAAGCAACATGCGATCATTGATATATTGTATTCAGTCAATAAAATCGTTACGGATGGAAACGTCACCACCTGGCGAGAGGATGATACTCAACGTACCATCCTTATGACACTGTCACTGGCATTTGACGGCCAGGAACGGCTAGCCTATCTCTCCGGTGGGTGGTCTAAACCGATCACACAATCACAATCCCTCACACATCATCGTAGCAGAATCGAAGGCACATTCACCGTCTCACTCATCCGTCGTTTGTACTGAAGCTGACAATACCTGATTGATTATTTGGTACCGTACGGTAGAAAAATGGAAGCGCTGCACCAATGGAAACATGACATTACACAACACGCAACACAAAGTAGTTATTCCACCTCTTCAATGCTGGAGCATTGGCGGTATCTTTATACACTACGGTCTGGCTGTGCGACGAATGGAAAATCATCCAGAAGCGATCAACTGCACCAGGTCGCAAACTGGCCGGACACCGGATGCTGGGCAACTTCAGGGAACAAAAGTGCATGAAACACAGCCAACGAACCGCATTACCTTAAAGCAATCTCGAGCGTGGCCTTTCCGGCGATAAACCGCGAACTCTTCGGATAAACTTTCACTAAAAACGAAAGTCTGTCGAGAGCACATCTCTTTACACGGCTTCCTGGCGGTTCAACTACACATTGTGCATGTACGCCTGCGGAGGGGGAAAGCCGGAGGCGTACGTCGCCCGCATCTGCGGGTAGATGTCGCTGCTTGAGAAGGGACGCTCCACGGGCGCCGGCCGCTGACCGCCGGTCGGACCATGGCGAGCGCGCGGCACCGGCGCGCCGGGCATCGCCTGCGGGTCACCAGCCCGGAGCGCAGGCTGGCTCAGCCACCGCTCGTCGGGCACGCGGCGCGGCGGGGGCCCCCAGCCGGCCGGCCGCGGCGGGGGCCCCCAGCCCGGCCGGCCGCGGCGGGGGCCCCCAGCCGGCTGCCGCGGCGGGGGCCCCAGCCCGCCGGCCCCCAACCGGCCGCCGCCGGCGGCGCGTGCGCACACAGGTTCGGCGTCGACTGGTGGACGGCCGGCCGTCCGGGCGGCAACGCCGGTGGCGCGCACCTGGCCCTGGCGCGGCGGCAGCGGAGGCCCACGCGGCGGCTGGTACTCGGGGTAGACGTAGCCGTGCGGCAGCGGCGCCGGCGGCCGTCCGTCCCACAGCCTGCCCCACGGCTCGGTCGGGGGCGGCACCGGATCGTGCGCCGACGCCGGCCGCCGGTGCGCCGCCTCGCCGCCGCTCTGCGGCAGGTGCTGCGCCGAAGCGTAGCGCAGCCATGCCGGCTCTGGCCGGCACAGGGCCTCGGTCGAACCGAGCGCCGTGGCCGGACGCGTCTCGTGCAGCGCCGGAAGGCGGCGCGGCTCCGGCCGCCACTGCGCCCAGGCCGGCCGCAGCGGGCCCTGCATCTGGCGCATGATCTCGCTGGTTCGCTCGAAGCGCGGCTTGACACCGCGCACGGATGGCCGGCGTGCGAAGCCCGCCTCGTCTTGATCGTTGGCCGTCACGCTGTAGCGCTTGCGCAAGCGCTCGGTGCGCGCCGCCTCGCGCTCGGCGAAGGCGGCCAGCTCGTCAGGCTCGGCGCCGCCCGGCCGGCCGTCGTTGGAGCCGTAGCCGCTGTCGGCCGAGCCCTCCTTGACGGCCGGCGGCCGCGGCGCCGCTGGCTCCGACACGCAGTTCAGCGCGTCGTCGATATCGTCGAGTGAGTACGAGTCGCGCGAGTCGACGGAGGAGGCGGCCGAGCCGCGCGCACCAGCCGCGCGCTGCGTGGCCTGGCCGCCGGCGGGGGGCTCCTGCGACTGACCGCCGGCAGCCGGCTGGGCCCCGTGTCGCCACGCCGGCTGCCCGGGTGGCGAACCGCGGTCCGTCCGCCTCCAGACAGGCTGTTCGTTTAGCAGCCCCGGGTCAGTCGGCTTCCAGAGAGGCTGATCGGTTGCCGGCTCCGGAGCGGTCTGCCTCCACATGGGCTGTTCATGCGACGGCGCCGGCACGGTCTGCCTCCTAAAAAGCTGCCCGTTTGAGGGATTCGTGACGCTCTGTCTGCAGACTGGCTGCTCTTGTGGAGACCCGGGGACATTCTGTACCCAGACTGGCTGATCGTCTGTCCGCCCCGAGACATTCTGCCTCCAGACAGGTTGCTCTTGCGGCAACCCCGGGACATGCTGCGTGCAGACGGGCCGCTCCGCTGGGCGTCCCGTGACGTCCTGTTCCTGCGGCGCTCGGCCCGGCCACCCACCGCCCACGCTGCCATCTAGCGTCGGGCTGAGATGCCGTGGCGACGGCGACGGCCCGGCGGTGGCGTGCGGCAGCTGCCGCGGCCCGACCGGCGCCCGCTGGACAGCCGCGGCCGCCGGCGGCTCGCCCGTCAGCAGCGTGTCGAGGCGCTCGATGGAGCGCCGCGCGGACGGCGGCGGCGGTGGCGGCGGAGGCTCCTCCGGCCGGCGCGGCCCGACCGCGTTGCGCGGACGCGCCGGCGGCCACATGCTCTCGTTGATCTTCCATTCGCGCACGTCACCCGGCACCTGGATGTCGGGCGGCGGCGGGCTGAACAGGCTTGTCCGGGGTGACAGCGGGCTGACGGCGCCGGCCGGAGCCTGTTCGGCCGCGCCAGGTGTGGTCTGTTTCGCGGCCGCCCTGTCCGCGCTGGGAGCGGGCGGCACGGCGCTGCGCGCTGCAGCTGCCCCGGCACCTGTGGCGAGGCCGAGCTTGAGCTCGTTAGCGCGCGCCAGGCTGCGTCGCAGCGAATTGTGCTCAATGGCACGCGCCACGTCCGCGCTGGAGCGGACGTGTAGGGTGGCGTGCGCCAGGTCCGCCACCGCCTGGTGCCGCGCGTCCACCCGCGTCGGGGAGACGTCACTCGACACAGACTCGCTGCTCGAGTCGCTGCCCCTGCCGCGCCCGTCGCCGACCTCGCCGACGGGCGCAACGGCCTGCGCCACCGAGCCGACGCCGCACTGCTCCAGCTCGCGAGGCGCAGCGGCCGACCGTGCGATCACCGTGTCCATGGAGGAGAGGCTCGAGTCGCCGTCGCTATCGGCGGCCGGCGGCGGCCGCGGCGCAGCGGCCGGCCGCTCGTGCCGCGGCTCGAAGCGCACGGAGCGGCGCGGCGCGCTGCCCTCGCTGTCGTCCGAGTCGACGCTGCGGCCGCCGCTCCACAGCCGGCCGCCCTTCAGGATGCCGTTCAGCAGCACCTCGGCGCGGCCGTCCTCGATGGCGATCACCTTGTCGTGCTGCTGCACGTTGGCGATGGTAAGCACAGCCGCCGCCGGGTCACCGCCCGGCGGCGGCGGCGCGCCAGCGTCGTCCCGCACCTCCGCCGGCGCCGCCGCCGCCGGCGCGCCGTCCGTCACCAGGTCGGGGAGGTTCCGCCACGACTTGGGCGGCGGCGGCTCGGTAGCCGGCAGGGGCGACGAGTAGGCCGCCAACCGCTGCCCGTCCGACGACTCCGGAGCGTCCAGAGACACGGGCACTTTGTCCTCGGGCGGCTGGCGCTCCGCGTCGTCCGGCGGCTTTAGTCGAGTGTTCTCCGCCGACTCGGGGCCGCTGTCCTCCGGCGATTCGAGGCCATTGTCTTCTGTCGCTTGTCGACCACTCTCCTCGGGCATTTCCGAGGAAGCGTTCTCGGCCGGGTCCGCGCCAGTGTCCGCTAGGAGCTCCAAGCCATTGTTCTTCGAGTGCCCAAGAGCGGACTCCTGCGGCGGCTCCCAGCGGGCATCCGCCGGCGACTCCGAGCGCACGTCCTCGGCGTCCTCCTCCGGGGCCGTGTCCTCGGAGGACTCACGGCCGTCGTCCTCCGGCGGCTCGAGGGCGGTGTCATCGGGCTCGGCCAGCGGCGCCTGCCCCACGGGCACGTCCAGGCCGTCGGCGCTGCACTCGGAGCCTGCAACACACAGCCAGAGCCAGTCAGCGACCAGTCGGTAGTGCCGCCCCAGTCACATCACAGCCAGAGTCAGTCAGCGACCAGTCAGTAGCGCCGCCCCAGTCACATCACAGCCGGAGCCAGTCAGCCGCCAGTCAGGCGCGCGGCCCCAGTCACACCACAGCCGCTCGCTGCTGACCGGAGGGTCCGCATTACCAGCACAAGTGCGACTAGTGCTGGCGTCATAAAGACACGTGACACCATGGGAATATGTGCGTGCGTGCGTCACAGAC